ACTTGTTCATAGCTTTTGGGTCTAGATCTTCTTGGTACCATCCATTCATCATCATCAACAACAACAAACTAGTATTTTTTTTTTTTGTCGAAAACAGAACTCTTAAAGGGCACCCCAATCATTATGCACTAAATCAAACTGTGCGTTTGAGCCCCGATCAAAGTACAACCAATAAAGAAGCATATTGCTCGGTACATCAAAGAAGTGCATCTCTACAGGAAGGGAATGCCCAAGAGAGGCAAGATAATCGGCAACACAGTTTAACTCGCAATAAAAGTGCTCTATCCTAACTTGCCAAGGTCTATCTAAACAACGTCTAATCTCTGCAACACCCGCGTAGTGAAGGTTGAGTAGTCGTTGCCGTCGTTATCAGGGTCGTTGATATGATGGAATTTGTCTGTAGAACCACCTTCCTAGCCCATTCTTCCCAGACGAGCTTCAACACATGCACAATTCCAGACAGCTCTACTCGAGTGATGGAATCCCCTCCTAGTTTCATCGAGAAAGCTTTGATAAAGCGGCCATCATCTTCCCTCACGATGCCGCCACATGTCGTGCTCTCCTGATTGTGTATCACTGATCCGTCTGTGCTGACACACCTCCAGTCTTGCTGAGGTGGCTGCCAGCAAATAAGTCGCCGCTCCCGAAGTCCCCCATCTCAAACTAGTACCTTAATAATACTACAAAACAAATAAAATGTATGCTCTTTCTAATATGGATGACGTGGAGGAACAAATAAAAAGGAAAGAACATGAAAGAGGGAAGAAAATCGGGGTGGATCGACGCCTCAACGAAAGAGAACAAGCAAAAACATTGGCGTAATTTGGGAAACTGCAGAACTTGTCGGATCCTCACCCAAATTTCATGGCTTACGTCACTACTAAATCTTGTTTACTTTAGTCTCAAGTTACTTCTGTAACTCATAATAAGATAGGTCAAAGGTTCATAGCCATGTCTGACTTTGAGCCAGTTTGGAGTAAGTTTGGATGATCCTTGAAAGATAAGTTTCACAGCTGTTAAGTTATGAGCTTAATTTATTGCTGAGATTTATGGGGTTAATAGTTGCATTTAATTCAATGGGGGAAAAAGATAGTTGCATTTAAATATATGTGTGTGCTGAATTTAAATATATGCTTTTATCGGTTATTCTAGAGTGTAAAAGATCACTCTAATTGTTGTTAATTAGTAAAAATAAAACGAGGAGCGACAATCCTCAAAAGAGCACAGATGTCAGGAGGTTAAAGTTGCACGTAGAAAGTCTATAATAACATGGTGTCCAAAGCAAAAGAAAAGAGTGATTGTAGTAGGTAGATATAATATCTAACACAAAACTGATATCTCTACAAAAATGTAAGAGTTGAATCTCTCCATCATCGAAAATGAACATCTATCACATAGTTGTGACATATATAACATAGCATGAGAGATGATTTCAAAGTACAATTGGTCAGAATCCAAATGATGAAGTGAACCCTAGATTGAGACCATGTTGAACAAATCTCACTTTGAATATAAAGTAGCCATTTGAGTGAAGGGAAGAAAGAAGATATTGTAATGGCTATCACACTACACATACTGTAATAAATACTTGCTAGTGATATGAGGTTGGGTGGCTAGTTCGATTTAGGTCACATACGGAATAAGACAGATTGTCCATGTAAGCTATTTCGAGTCGATGTGACGTATTATCAATTTGGTTGAGTTGAGATGCTAATTAATGTGATAGAAACCCGTTATTAGGGTTCTATCTAATGATGCCAAGAAAAGAGATGGTAATAGAAATGGGGCCTAATGGCTCCTGTTGGCGGTGGAGTAAAGAGATAGGGAAGAAAAATGGTTTTTGGTGCGAAGGGAAGAAGAAGGAAGAAAGAAGGGGTCGGCTGCAGTGGGAAGCCGAGGAAGAGAGGAAGGGTGAGGGTCGGCTGGGAAAGGAAGAGAGGAAAAGAAATTAGCTGCTAGGTTTAGGTTTAATTATTCCATAATCTCATTCAACGTAGAAAATAGTTTAAATAACAATTCCTAATTACCGATAACTACCCCAACTTATTAAACCCCCAATCTGAATCCCAAATACCCAATAAATCCATAAACAATTATAAACTATCAAATAAGTTCAATTGCGAATTAAATAGAAATGCAGGTTTCTATCATCCCCGCCTCCTTCGAATCAACCTTGTCCTCAAGGTTGCCAGTCCTCCACCTGGTCTTCACCCTTACCCTCCGCCGCATCGTCCTCGGCCTCATCTTCCCATCTTCCGACCAGCATCATCAAGTCCGGCTTCGCGCACTTGTGTCCAATGGTGAATCGCTCGTCACAGTTGAAGCACTTGCCTTCTCTTCTCTTCTGGTCTATCTCTGCTGAACTGAGCCGGACAAAGCCCTTAGGCGGAGCTCTCGGCCCAAGCCTTGCTGCCGGGGCCACTGCTCCTGGTGCCGCTCCAGCCCCGCCACTGGCAGTAACGGCGGTGCCGCCACTCCCGCTACTCCCTGCGCCGGTGTGACCTCCTCCTCCCGGCTTGGGGTATCGCCCTATGACGTTCCTCCAGCTCGCCAGCTCCTCCTCCTTGTGCCCTGCAAGACGAAACACAGTCCGCAAGGTATCCGGCTCAAAAATCTTGACTGCCGCAGCAATCTCAGGCTTTAGGCCTGCCATGCACATCCCCACCAGGATCTCTTCTGGAACTCCTTTGCACTGGTTCCCCGATTTGAGGAACTCTGCCCGGTAATCACTTACCGAACCGGTCTGCCTGAGCTTGGCCAGCTGCTCCGGCGCCCAGCCCTCTGATTTGCCGAATTGGTAGCGAAGCTCCTCCTGAAATATCGGCCAAGTAATCAGCGTCTGCGCGGCAGCATAAGATCGCTCCAACCATTCCCACCAATGCAGGGCGTCTCCCTCTAGGTAGAAGGACGCCAGTTGCGCCTTCCTTTCCTCTCTGGTTGGGTGATTCCTGAACCACCTGTCAGCTGCATATAACCACAAGCCGGCGTCCTCCTGGCCATTGAATTTTGGAAACTCAATGGTCGGGGGCTTGGCCCTAAACACCAACCCATACTCATCATCATACCGATCATATCCACCATACCTGCCAACATTGGGGTAACCTCGGTGATACCCCGGAGGTCCGCCTGCGTCGCCTCCTGCACTCCAGCCATGCCCAGCCTCCCCTGAGTAGTCGCCGTACCCGCCCGGTGGAATCCCTGGGTGTGTTGCTGCTGCTATCGGAGGTCCGTAGGCACTCGAACTCTCAAGCTGGGCCCGCCAGTCCGCCACTGGTCGACCATCCGGAGTTAGCTCGAACCGGTGAGGTTCGTTGGTAAATCGGCCCACCCCGGGTCGCCCATTGGTGGTCCGCCCAGCTCCGGTCTGGCCGGCTTCGGTCCACCCCGGGTCGCCCATTGGTGGTCCGCCCAGCTCCGGTCTGGCCGGCTTCGGTCCACCCGGCTCCGGTCCGACCGGTCTCGGTCCACCCAGCCCCGGTCCAACCACCTTCGGTCCAACCCGGCCCGATCGGCCCATTTGGGCCCGGTTGGATCACCAGGGCCCGATCCGCCCCGCCTGCCCGATCGTACCCGCTCCCGGCCGGCTGCACTCGGCCCATCTCACGCTCCATGGAGTGTGGGCCCACTTGGGTAAAGCACGGGTTCTGGACCACGTTGTCGTAGCCCGGCATCTTCGCCTTGCCGCGTAAGGCCGCGATCTCCTCAGCCGTCGGAGTCGGTAGTAGCCCGGGCCCATTACGAGCCCCTTCAGCATCGGGGCCCATTCGTTCGACCGTGGCTTGCCCTACGTTGACCGCGGCCGAACCTCCCCCTGGCCCCGTCGCCGCCGAGCCCGCCGCAGCCCCGCTCGCCGCCGGGACCGCCGCGCTCCTTCCTCCCGCGCCCGCGCCAGGTCTGGCCGCCGCTGCTGGGTTCGGCCGAGGCGCCTCCACCTCGCTCCGGTCACCCCCGCCGAGCCCCAATGCCGCAGCCAGCCGCCTCTGCTCCTCCTGCATGCTGGTGAGGAGCTGCATGATCACGTCACGTTCACGCCTGGCCTCTTCCACCTCCGCCCGTACCTCCTCCATGTTGGAGTCGGTCCTTAGCTGCATAGCCATGATGGTGCGCATCGAGGCTTGGAGATCGTCACTCTCCATCTCGTCCACGACGACTCCTTCTCGCCGGTTGTCCACCAAGGGTGGGGAAACCCTGGTCGTGGCCGCCGCCTTGGATCCAGCGTCGGACTTCTCTGCCGGTGACTTGTTGATCGCCATTTTGCTGCTGCCCGTCCCGTTATAGAGTTGCGATAACTCAATAATCAGAACCTGAGCTCTGATACCAGATGATAGAAACCCGTTATTAGGGTTCTATCTAATGATGCCAAGAAAAGAGATGGTAATAGAAATGGGGCCTAATGGCTCCTGTTGGCGGTGGAGTAAAGAGATAGGGAAGGGAAATGGTTTTTGGTGCGAAGGGAAGAAGAAGGAAGAAAGAAGGGGTCGGCTGCAGTGGGAAGCCGAGGAAGAGAGGAAGGGTGAGGGTCGGCTGGGAAAGGAAGAGAGGAAAAGGAATTAGCTGCTAGGTTTAGGTTTAATTATTCCATAATCTCATTCAACGTAGAAAATAGTTTAAATAACAATTCCTAATTACCGATAACTACCCCAACTTATTAAACCCCCAATCTGAATCCCAAATACCCAATAAATCCATAAACAATTATAAACTATCAAATAAGTTCAATTGCGAATTAAATAGAAATGCAGGTTTCTATCATAATGTAGACGATTTCGATAAAACCCTTCGAGTCCGAGGGTGGCTATTCGAAGCTTGATAAACGGGTTTGTTATAAATCGAAGCCTAGTGGCCTATTTGTCAAGTAAACTCAAAATTTAGTGACAGAACAGATGGCCTAACAAGGAAGTGATAAGACTGCTTCTTCTCACTTTGTCTTTACTCTCTAATCAACATTTGCATGGAGCCCCTAACCCGTAATTAAAATAATCCCTACTTTTTTCATGCAGGAGTTCCTTGAATAATCACAGCTTGGAAATAGCAGCTAATTAGCTACCACAGCAGCTATTAGGCTGTAGCAGCCTTGCTAAGTAACTCTCTGGCAACTGCCTTTCTACGTCACAAAACTATAACTGTGCCCTGACTAATAGCACAAACTTGTCACACTGGTGTTCCTCAATCTCAATGGAGTAGAATAACAATATAACATGCACAATTAACTACACCTGAAGATGGCTGCAGCATATTAATCCAAGAAAATTGGCATGCTGTCTTATTCAGCATCAGTGAGTAATGGGATCCGAGATGGAAGATAGTTAACCAGGTCAACGCGAACACCAAATGCACATCCATGGAATCATCTGAGCAAAAGAAAACACAGCTTTGTATTGCTGCTGAAAAAATAATACAAAATCAGCAGTTGCCGGAAAAAAGAATGCCATGTGTGTGATACAAGCAAGCTAGTGTACAAGTACAACAACAGATCAGATGATTAGTTGAGGGAGTGATCATTGTAAGCTGTAGTAGACTCTTTAAGTGGATCATGAATCTGAAACGCACATACGTATCATTGATGCACACAAAGTCACCTGCTTTCTGCGTGGAGGAAAACAATGGCCTGGTAGCAGGATTCCATCAGTTTGAGGTTTTTTGGGGCAAAGGAGCATGGCCTTTGAAGATCATTCTCCTTCGTCGTCCCTTTCAAACTTCAACCACTTCCAATTTGCATACAGAATCGGTTCGTCGTCAAATGAGCTAGAGTTGGTTGGAGGTGTTGCTGATTTCTGGGATTTCGGAGAAGCAGGTAGCTTTTGCCTATACTTTCTAGCCATGTCTTCTGCCTCAGCAAATACTCTCTGCACGGAATAAGATTAACTTGTTAATGAAACTTAGGATGGATTTATGTAGAGCTCAAGATGGAAGGATACGGAATATCCTAAGAAAGCACCTCTCTATCGGATAGGAATAGTCCAGGCTCACTTTCCAGGTCAGCAGTACTGCACACCACATAAACAAGTTAGCTACATTCATGTCAAAAAGAGAAAAAAGATAACTTGGCTATAAGTTACTTACCTGAGAGATATTTTGCCAGGAAGCATTGATTTTGCCACCAAGACTTTGACCTTCTCGTCGATTTTGAGTACATCCTCGACAGCAGTAACCCGTGCTCCGCTGATCTTTGAGATATGCAAGAGCCCACTGGAATTTCACAACAGAACATTCAGAGAGCTTCTCCACAAGCACAGCCAAGAGAACTCTATACTAACAGAGGCTGGTGTGCAACATTCCATTGGTGACATGCATGCAAAATCAGTGATAGCTACTTGCAGATGAAATAACAATATTGACTAATATTAGTGTCTAATAAGTAGTCACTCTTACCTTCTGTTACTTTCCCCTATTCTCACTTGAGCTCCATAAGGGAAAATGGTCTTAATTGTTCCTTCAATAAGTGTTCCCTCCTGAAGGTTCAACATTTCCTACAATTTCACATTCAATCTCAGTGACTTTGTATGGAAACAGGGGAAAGAAGCAAAGCCTCAGAAAATGAAAGACATCACATGAAAGCTTACCCAAGCTTCTTTTTCACTCAGTATTAAGTCGTTATTACTCTCATTTATCCGAGTTATCAATACGTTCATTCGACGACCCACCTACACCACGAAGAACCAAGAATCAATGAGAAACATTACAACCAGGGTACAAAAGCAAAGATAAACAAATATATCCATAGCAAGCCTAGTTGGTAGAAAAGTGCTCCATTTACATCAAGTTCTTAACTTTCAAGACAGTAAATGAGTTCCCGTCACAAAACTATGACGTTAAATGCAAGTCTGTGATTTCTGTTCTTTTGGATAATGTGAAAAATGAAGAGAAGAAATCATAAAGCATTGCGAGGGTTCAAGCGAAATAAGTAAATGATTGAGTGACTCAATGGTTTTTCTTTTACATTTTCTTTTAACTCCTTGAAGTTGTTCACCCTTCTCACTAGCTCGATCTTTGGAAGGAAAGCTCGTAGTCCCTGCAGAACAGAGACAACAATCAGAAGACACTCAATGCACAAACAAGAAAACCAAACTTATAATATACCAAGCACACCTCAATTCTTGTAAGAAGTCCACCAGTATTCCACTCAGTAATCTTACTCTCAATTGGCATATTGAGTTCCTTTATCTGCTCAGAAAACACAGTTGAAACTGTCAACAACAAGAAATATGAAATCATAAAGCAAGTAACTAACTAAGCTTCCTTCATTAGTGAAATTCTTTGACATCCCCCTTAAGTACATTCACATTCGCAAACAAATGTTCAAGGCAAGCCGTGGAGGACAAGCTTCAATAGTAGATTTCTAACAGTGCTTAACATTATAAGAAAGCTCACAACACATTTGAATCGAACAATTACGGAGGTCAAAATAAGCAAGCAAGAACAGTAACCTGCCTCACTCGGTGCCAAGCAATCCTTCTGAACAGCCGTCGAGTCGAAAGCAATGGCCGGCCACTCAATGTCCTCCCAAGAACCTCAGCAAACAGAACAGTCCCAGTCTCCACAACAGGCCTCCCTATCCCTGTCCCACCACTCAAAGCAATCTCATCTTTAACAATCCCAATCTTCCCTTTCCTCAGAAACTCCCCACAATCCTCCTCGTCTTCCAAATCACACAACAAACCATCCATCTCCTTCCCACACAAAGGCATCACTTCTTTAGTCAGCATCGTGCCCAACAAATCCGCCCCAATACTCACATCCAACTTATTCTCGTTGCCTGAAACCACAACTCCCACCACAAATTCTCCTGCCTTGGGCTCATAATACTCCACATTCACCAACTTCTTCTTATCATCAATCTCCCCTTCCTTCTTCTCCGCACCATCGCCTAAATCACTAATCCCATCTCCAATCACTTCCCCAGAAGCATCCCTGGGTTTGAAGAACTTCAAAAATGGAGCTAGGGCTTCATCCCTTTTCCTTACCTCTTCATCATCCACTTCCTCCAATGGCGCCCCATTGTTGTCGACGGTGGTGGTAGTGACAGGGGACGGCTTATCGTGCAATTCGAGCTCCTCGTTGGCTTCGAATCCGTCGGGTTGAGGCGATTCGGGCAACTGGGTACCCGAAATTTGGTCGAAGAAATCGTCTTGAGAGCAGAAGCGGATGTGGGGGTGTTTGGAGAGAGAGAAGAAGTGGAAGGAAGGCGGTGGTGATTGGAATCTCTTCTTGACATGGGTCGAGAGAGGGAATCTCTGGAGAAAACATTCTAACGGCGGGAGTGGGAAAGAGTTACAGGGTTGGAGCTGGAGATGGTGAAGCTGGAGGAGTGGTGGCATGGCTTTTTTGTTTATCCACTGCGATTCGTCATCCTGTGCGCCATTTTTGTTAGTTGTTGGCCGCGGACTAATTTCTTTTTTTTTTTTACTTTTATCTCATTCAAATCTTTCTCCAATTCTCTCCATCAGAGCTTCATTGGGCTTTACGGTTCACGGGTTCAGCTAGTCCAGCTTTTCTGGCCTTTTCAATAATGGGCCAGGGCTGCTTTTAATGAAGTGCTGGGCCTGGACTACCTTTGTGAGTGATGGTTTGGTAGGATCAGGATCTCGTGCAATTCAAACATTGATAAATCATAAATGATAGGTGCGTCTATGATGTCTTGCAAGTCACCGTAATTTGTAATTTTTGATCAACCTCAGTTAGGATTAGGTCGATCTAATATGTTGTTTAAGTGTAAAAACAGTTTTATGGTGCCTACTTTGCATATTCATATCTTACAATTGGCTAGATGGAAATTGGAGATTAATGACTTGTTTTGAAGTTGGAGTGTCCCTCTACACATTGAAGTGCTTGGGAGCTCGATAGGAAGTAAAAAAAAGATTATTTTTTAACCTAATCAAAAAGCTATGCCAAAACTAGGAAACTACTTGAAAATGGCTAAGTCTGAGAATGTGTTTGTGAAGCCTACTTTGAATCTCAATTCGAGAAGCATGGATGAGAGTCGAATCCAGGGCCTCTACCACATAAAAGTAGGTATGTTTGTCTACAAATGTAAGACATTAGATGGAAAAATTGGATATCTGGAAGATTTTAAACAAAATAGGGTTAATTGCATGGTTGGTCACTGATATTACAAAAAGCGTTCATGTTTGGTCACTCGAAATATTTAAATCCATTTTTGGTCACTAACTTTACAAAAACCGTTCATTTATGGTCACTCTCCGTTAGCTGCCGTCCAACGCCGTTAATGGCGTCCGTTAAGTGATGACGTGGCTGACGGATTCGCCTAATCATCACCTTTTAACCAAAAATTTGACTGACCCGACCCGCCACATTATTTAAACCCTCCATGTCAGCGAAATCTAACCAAACCTCTAACCAAACTAGACCAGACCCGACCCATAAATAAAAAACTGATTCGGCCCACCAATTAATCTACCCAGGGCCTCTCCCATCTCGTCCAAGGTTTTCTCGAGGAGGAGGCGGAGAACGACTCCTCATCACACGCCGGTCACGATTCCGACTCCGAACCGACCGACTCGCTCCCGGACTTCCCCAATTCTTTCGCTGACATCGCCTTCGCCGAATCCTTCCTCGTCGACCCCCGAAGACTTTCCACACTCTCTGCCCAACTCGGTCGTCTTACCCCCGAAGACTTTCCACGCTTTCTGCCATTTCTTTATCCCCTGCCAACGCCATGCCCACCCATCCATCCCTCTCTCTCAACCTTCTCTCTACTCCCTCTATATATATCCCCTCCGGTCAAGACTCAGAAACCCAAACCCACCTCCATTATTCATTCTCATTCATCCTTCTCCAAGCTTGAAAGAAACCCCTGAACTTGGAAGCAAGAAAAAAAAATCCAATCTTTCCCCCAATCCAATCCACTTCAAAAACCTTGATCAATCAGAGAATTCACAGCTCCATATGGGTTTATCCCTCTCGCTGCTCCACTCAGCCTGGGAAGAAATCGTCCGCCAGAGCTTCCTCGCCCTCGCCCACAACAACTTCTCCCTCACCCCCAAAACATAACCCAACAATAATGTCTCCCGGACTTCCCCGATTCTTCCCGAATCCTTCCTCGCCGACCAAGACGACGAATTCCTCTCCCTCTCTCGCTTCTGAGGTGAAATCGCCACCGGCCGCCGCTCTCTCTCCGACTCCCTCGACAGCGGCGACGGCCTCTCCCTCCCAGCGAGGTACGGACCCTGCCTCTCCCCACGCCTGCTCCCTGGAGATCCGTACGAATTCTTCTTCCTCGCTTCCCTCTTAACCGGCGACATCGTCGACCCCCTTTCCCTCTCCGCCGCCGCCGAATTCATCATCATCATCGGTGGCGGAGCCATACGCGGAGGACCGTCGACAATGCTCCAGATCTCGGAAGAAAGCTGAATCGTCGTCGCCGCGCCGTGATTACCTCGCTTAGGAGGCGCCACCATGGGCGCCACGCCCGTGATGCTCCAGATATCGGAGGCCAGAGGGATGGTCTGATTCCTGTCCCCGGCGGCGGGGCTGTCCTTCTTGTCGAAGCTGAAGCTGGAGGTCGCCAGCCCGCTCTTCTTCTTGGCGGCCGGGATTTGTCTTCGATTAGGGTTTTAGTCAAAGGTGGGTAGAATAATTGGTGGGTCGGGTCAGTTCTTTATTTATGGGTCGGGTCTGGTTTGGTTTTAGGTTTGGCTGACATGGAGGGTTTAAATGACGTGGCGGGTCGGGTCAGTCAATTTTTGGGTTAAAAGGTGATGATTAGGCGAATCCGTCAGCCACGTCATCACTTAACGGACGCCATTAACGGCGTTGGACGGTAGCTAACGGAGAGTGACCATAAATGAACGGTTTTTGTAAAGTTAGTGACCAAAAATGGATTTAAATATTTCGAGTGACCAAACATGAACGCTTTTTGTAATGTCAGTGACCAACCATGTAATTAACCCAACAAAATACTCTATTTTTAGAAGATTGGACTATTGTGTGGGCCGTGGGACATGTCTCATGCGGGCCTTATGCCCAACTCCCATATGCAAATGTTTGAAAATTGAAACCCGACAATACATGATCATACCAGATACCACCTACCAAGACTCTGACTCTCTATTATATCAATTTTCTCCAAGAACACAAATTACAACATTTTTCTTCTTCCAAAACAGTACATCACTTCTCCTGGAACTATCTCAAAGTGGTTTTGATGATAGTTTAATTGGCATTGTTATAATGTTTGTATTGTTTATAATGTATCTTTTTTTTATATTTTTTGCACAAATAATACAGGTATTGTTTGCTTGATGTGGCAAACACTATCACTCATAATGAGTGATAGTTAAATCTTATGTTTTATATAAGATTGTTTGGTTAAGATTGCTGGGTTTTTTTTCCGACTACATCCCTTCACAAAAGTGGACCAACCACTTCCTTGAAAAAATTTCGATTACTTAGATATCAAAAAGTTCTGCTAACTCAAAAATCATTTTGACGACATGACAACCGCGAGCGCCAAATTGTTGCTCTCTAAAGTTTCAACTTATAGTAAGCGAGAATTGTTGGGCCTCCTAACAGTTTTGTTACAAAATCACTTTATGATACAAACTGAAATTATACCTAAACGTAACGGTGCAAATTATTTCATGTTACAAACTAAATTATTACCTTTTATATCTTGGGGGCAAATCAATCTTCAAGAACCGTCGAAGTAAAAAATACATCAATCCCTTTAACACCAGGACAAAAGAGTCTTCATATATGAGAAGAAAAACCAGAAAATGGAGAAATCATATCCACAACAATTATCATAATCAATCCAATCTATAAATCCACCAATCCAATCTATATAATCGAATTACAAATCTATCCTTGGGATACCAAGCAGAACTCAAGACGACAATGAATTGATGAAATCGAAGTAAGCAAAAGTGTTGACTTTAAATTGGATGCCATCTTTCATTTTTTTGTCTTCTAGCCCCAACTAACCTAGCTAGCTAGGTTACACATGACATGCAAGCTTATTTATTTTTCCCATGCTAGCAGTAACAATACACATACGTGGCACATATGCAACCTGTACATATTCCCCCTGACCTAATTATAAAAATGAACCCCATGTTAATTAACAATCATTGTACTACCTTAAATTGTTATTTAAAGAAGTTAATTTCAATTAGACCTTGACACGTGTAAACCATGACAAGTCATGACTTTCCAATGATAATGATAATTATTGAGTTTGGTTGGTGTTAATGTTATACACAAACTCTCAGGAGAATCGATTCCATTTCCACAGTCCACATATTGGCTCTATTTTCTTTTGCCGAATTAGTGAATTGTAGGTCTCTTCGAATAACATAGACAATTACTAACCCTCTGTTTCCGAAGGAAGGGAGGAAAAGGAGGGGAGGTGAAGGAAAATTAGGAGGGGAGGGGAGATTTTGATGTGAAGGAAATTGGAAGGAAAATGGTGTTTTATGGAGGAAAGTGGGAAGGAAAATGTGTATTGGAAATTGTGATGGATATGTTATTTTATTGAGTATGTATTAGTAAAATAATTTGATTATATGTTGATATTATTTTCATTGTTATGAATTGTGAATTAAATGTGTACTTTTCTTACTAATTTTGTTCACTATTAAAAATCAAAAGTAGATGTCTTGATTTTTTTTGTGAACCTATTGTTAAAATTTTGTCTCTATTTTATTGATTTGTCACATAACAACTAAAAACGGAACATACAACAAATCACACTAGCCTCTCCCTAACATTCATTCTATAAAAATTTACACTCTTAATTTGTTTTACCAGCATCGTAACACGATTTTACATATCACGTAGCAGATTTATGTATTGCATAAAACAACGTTATACATGACGTAATCACCCATATGGATCGTACGACATACAATACGATTTTACGTACTCTAATTTTAATAATAATCACTTATCATTAATTATAATTATTTTACTGAAATTGACCGACAATTTTACTACTTCCGTTTACTTCTTATTAGCTATTACTTACCATAATTTATTGCACCCTAATATACCCCTCATAATAATCACTTAAATAAGGGGGGAAATATTGTTAATTGTACAGGAATATAGTTTGTGAGTATGGCAAAAGGAATATAGTTTGTGAGGGTTGGTAAAAAAAACGACCATCAAAATCCAAAAAATAAAGAAAGGAATAAAATTGGAATAGGGAAGTTTAAAGTGAGCAGCAGTGAATACTAACCAAAAAAAAGGAGGTTTCCCCCCAAATCGGAGGGGTGGGTGGAACAGGATTTTTTCCTTCCTTTTTCCTTTCCACGGGTACTGTATACAGCCTTAAAAAACGGAGGAAAATCCTCGATTATTGTGTTTCCTTCCCTTCCCTTTCCTTTCCTCCCTTTTCCCTCCTTCCTAAACAGGGGGTAATGAAACGAGGCGTTGCGTCTCTCAGCAACTTTGTATTTCGTAGTAAAACCGTGGTTCAATCGTTTCCTATCGCTAAAAAATCGCCTACCGTTTTGATTCCGGTATCCAGTATTTCCGATCGGACGGCTAGGTTTTGCTAAACATTGGTTGGGATGTTGACAAGCTGCGTTGAAATATCGTTGTCTTCTAATGTACTTATCTACGTTTCTATTCCATCTGTGTGAGCCATGTGGCTTTCTTTCTGCCGTCGATTTATTGGTTCATCAAATTGGTTACTTCTTGAGTTTTGTGGGTAATTGAATGGAGTGGTATATAGAGAAAGAGAACGATAGACATCTTGGCATCTGGGTTATATGCTGTTGTTGTGGTAGGACATGCTGTTGTGTGCTCGACAGCTTTTATAAATCGCACTTTGGTTGCTGCCGACCACATTTACCATAAATGTGTATGTGAAATGTTGGTGGAAATAGATATAAGACCTGTTTGTAAATAGTTATAGTTAGGGCCCGATTCCGTAAATATTACGAGATGTTTCGTTTGGTGGATTCATAGGTCGAACTAACTCGTTTTGCACTAATTTTCTGATGTGGGTTGTTTTGTCCCACGTTATTTATAATTAAATAACTCGAAACGAGTCATTTAAAAAAAAAAAATCTACTCTGTGTTATTTGTGAATAACTCATCTTGCTAACTCTTTCTCCACACTTTTTGGTATGAAATACAACAAGCTTATTCCTAAGCGCAGTAATAATTTGAACTCTGGAGGTTAGCCCCCCAAGCTTCTTCAACATATTAGACCTCTTACTACATCAAATTTGTTGCCATAAAGTTACTAAAAAAATTAAAACGTTTGATTCGCAATATAAACTACGAAAGTATTTTTTAAAAAAAATAAAATATGAGAAGTCGCCATGATTTGACATAAAAGATAATAAATTATGAATTGAAATTTTATTAGATTTATTTTTATTGACTGACACATCTGTAAAACAAAACAAAAAATTCCTGGTCCCACTGATAATTGAGTAGTTTACTACTAGCTTGTGTTGCGCCATCCGATGGTCGTAATGATGTAAAATTAATAATTAGGAAGAGCGTTTATAAAAAAAAAATTAAGGAAGAGCGAATATCAACATCATCGCAATTTGCAATATATGATTGTTAAATACCATGAGAGCTTTGCTGTAACCTTTTTTCCCTTTTGTAGTGACTGATGAGGTCCTCTACCTTAATTAGTTTAATTACAACCTAAGTAATGACAACAATTCTGCCAATGCGTTTAATAAATATAAATGATTAAGGAACCGAGGACGAACCTTAACCATAAATTTAAAATAAAATAATAACCCTCAATTAGTAAACAAATTATATGAAAATGAAACTTGATAGTTGAGTTCATTTAGACCGTACAACGTTTTTTTTTTCTTTTTTAAAATTTTAGTGTTTATGGCCCATCTGTCAACTGATATGTTCAAGATTGAGTTTGAAGAGGAAGGTGATGAAGCAAAGCAGCAACAAAGAAAGATACAAATTACAGAGTTGAAAAGAAAGAACGGATCCAACCATTCGAACTGGATAGGGTTGAATCGGGTTGAGATTCTTATATTAGAAATACAGTCGAACAAGTTCGTTCACTTAGGTAATTATGTTGCCATGAAATAATTATTCTATAGACAATATTGAATCCGAAACTTATAGTTGAATCTGTTTAGATCCCACAATTCTTTTAAATTTTGAGCTTAGGGCCCATCTGCCAAGAATCGAGCCATTTGAACTGAATAGAGTTGAACCGTGTTGAATAATAACTCTTAAATTTCAGATAGTATCAGAGCTTTGTACCCATGACCTTTCTCCTCTTGATATTATCTCTGATAATTTTAACTTCGTTTCGAATACAAATGGAGGAAGAAACCGAAACTTTCTGTGATACTGAATCCGAACGCCAGGAGGAGTGAGCTTCATAGCCTCCTTGGTGAACAAGAATGACTAGCTAATATTATTGTTATATTTTATGTAAACACATACGTGAGATGTCTCTCAGAACACATAATCCGGATCAAACTTGATGGTAAACAATTACCATCTCTAGATTCGGCCACTGGAAATTGTCCCGAAGACAAAAAGAAAACCGACTTCCACCAAAGGCATCTTACATATGTATGCCAGATTTCTCGCATCTAGTGTTCTACAACAGCTAGGACCACATCAAACAACACCAACGCATCATTGGATGGATTCTCAACTCACTCGTCGATGACATAACAAACACAGTACTCGACAATCAAACGGTTCTAGCTAGATACGCGGAGGGAATCTATTTTGCAAGAATGAGCGAGGAAGATATATAGTCGGACTTACTAGTTGAGTATACATTTGTAACTGCAAGCAAGGAGAACGTCATATATTGCCGAGTATTATAACCTATAAACCTTTACTCCAGTCTTGATATGATTCATTCAGTCGTTACCGATAATTCCTCCAGAAAGTTAATTACCTCTTGATTTGTGATTTTCACTTGATTTTTTGTTGTTGTTGTTGGTGTGAATTTTATCTTCTTCAAACCTAGAAAATATAGATTATGGAGTGGATGTTGGTTTAGAGTTCACTAGGGATGCCACGTGGGGCATCACCATTGGAGCTCGAAGGTAGGGGTGTTTTCGGTAATTACATCCTGGTGTGGTGGGTGGTTCCACTTCCATTCCATTGCCATCCTTGTATTTATCACCGACGCTCTCCATATCCAAACCCACCGGCCATTAAAAAGGGACGAAGCTGATGAAGAAAAGCGACCCGTCAGGCCTTCTTCCCCTTCAATTCCTCCGCCAGACAGCCGACTACTCAGTCACCGTACCACCGAGTCAACCCACTCTACTCCAAAGGTATGTATAGCGTCAGAAACGCAAACTTGACCTTTTTTATATAACGACGGCGCCGCCGCCGCCGCTCTAAAATCAGTAACCCCGCCTTCTTCTCTTCACTTTCTTCTCAGCTCATCCGATCTTTCTAGATTCGTCGTTAAGGAAAACCACGATCGCGGCTTCATGAAGTCGATGAATCTCATATCATTCCCTCACTCAAATACGAGTACGAGAAGCAGGACGAAACGAGGTATGTCTCATTATTTGTTGTCCGTTAATCTTTTTGCTTCATCCTGATTTCTCTCTTCGTTCGATTTAATTAACTACTGAATTGGTAACGCTGAATTAATTAACGCAATTCAAACGTTAGTTGACGATATCTTTTTTTTTTTATAATAAGGATAAGATAATTCATATTTGATATTATGTAATTTATATATATATGATTATCCACCGCTAATTTGTAGTTGCATTGGATGCTCTCTCCCTTTTTGAAACTTCCATTCTCTTTGCAAGAAGGAACAGTGTTGTTTTTCTTTTTTTCCGAAAATGACCCCTTGGTTTAGATAAGAAATAAACAGAACATTTTCATTTTTTTTTTTTATATGTGATAAGAAATGGTGGGTAGGCTGGAAGCCTGACACGTGTCGATGTGGCAATATAACTGGAACTAACTAGAAAGATTGGCTTTACTATATAGTCTTCTGTTCCCATTTATGTGAGAACAGCTGGTTGCCTGGTACAGTTGAGACCGACTGACAGAATCTATAAGTGGAGGAGCTTTTTTTTTATGGGTTTCTGTAAATTATTCCACCAAAAATTATTTCCAATCATTGAGAAACAACAAAAAGAAAAGGAAAGAAACTTAATTATCTCAAGAATTCTTAATTAATTGTAATATTCGGCGGGCAATTTTAGCATTTGGATTATACGAATGTTGAGGCGGGAAATATTCTCTTATCAATGATTTCAAATTAGAAAATGTTGCCAAATTATTAGATTAGCAGCCTACGGGTTTTGTTTATTTTCTATAATTTAATGGTTATTTTCCAATCAACAAATAAAATTTGGCTTGCGACTTGGAAGGATAATGAATATTCGGTCATCAATTGGTTATGATTACAATAATTAAAAGAAAAGAGTGATAGTAAGTACAAAGATAAAAAAAAATTAAGGAATAAATGTGTTTCTATTAGATTTTTCGGGTTCATGCAATGACCACGCTAAGCGAGCATGTGCCTAGCTTCTTAAATTTTGGCCATGGCGGTGGGGGAATATCGTTTGGTCTAAATAGTGTTTAGGGAAAATGCTGTGTCCATCGAATGGTCGACAAACGATATCTATACTCCAACTACAAAATTTAATTGAGTATTATACAACTTTATAAAAAAATTTGAAAAATAGGAAACAAATTAAGTACAATGTTCGATAAAGAAAATAACATTCATGTCCAAAACAATCTACATATGGATCAAGTCTTTTTTTTTCATGAAGAAAGTCTCGAGGTTATGTTACTTAAAGACGGACAAATCAAAGTTACCGTTGCGAAAGCTGAAACTCATAAATTTAAATTAAACGAAAATTATTTCCAGCAGTAGACTCGAGCTCCAGAGGATTTTCTTAGTACTCCGGGTCGTCTCGCCAATAGAATGAGTGTCTTCGACAATTGAGTTGAGCTGTAGGTGCTCAGGAGCTCGATCATAAGGCAAGGGACGCTACCTGGTAAGGTCCCGAGCAAGCTTGTGTAGAGACACGTGTTGTGTTTTCCCGCTCGAAGAAGGTAAATGTTAGAAGAGAGGACGACTCGAGGCAAATATTAATATCGGGGATTTAGGCCAACATGCTTAGATACCAGGATAAGATAATATTCTAAGGTCTAACCCTATAACAGGGATTAGCATCATGTTAACTATAGTGAAAGGAAAAAGAACCCATGCAATGCAATGGCTGATAAAGGCCCGATTGCTTCTATAAAGCATGAACTATTGAATCCAATTTTAAGGTTTAATTTGTATATATTTTTTTTCCCCTTCAGAAAATGAAAAGAGAACATACTTTACTTACGAGAAATAGCGCATTTCTCCGCTTTCAATAATTAATTATATTAGAGAAAGACATGACATGGAATTTATGGATACATTCCAAACCTTTGCAACTTCGCATATTCCAATTCCATTAAGCTAAAAGTTAACAAATTGAAGTGATATATTATTAGTAAATAACAACTTTCCGAGGCATTAATTGCTTTGGCCCCTTTTTCTTGGTCACCATTCCAAACTCGTGCTTATCACTCAACATCATCACTAATGATTATTAATAATTATCATTTAGCATAATCTCGTGATTAACGAGGCCCCACTCAGGTGAAAAAGCATATTTATCATTTATCGCCGGCGAGTGCTTCCTTCGTCAGTTTCTTTTGGAAATTTCTCAAGGCAACCCTCTATTTTAAGGGGAAAGCAGCTTACCTTTATGTTATTGGCGGGTGAAAACGTGTGGTTGTCGTCACGTCTCCTTTGGCTGCCACGGCCGGCGGCGGTCCCGGCGGCGGCGGCTCTTCCCCTCGCAGCCGCCGCTGTATTTTATCTGTATTGGACGGTTGGGGTGAAGAATAAACTGTTAGCTGTCAGCGGCTTCCGATCTGGACAGGTGTATATATTCATCGTTCGGCGAAAACAGTATAGTGCCGTGACTACGTGGGACCGGTTTTTAGATGGGCCCGAATCTGCCGTCCATTACGCGGCAACCAATCAATCATGGATTTACGGGAATAAACGCGAGAAATAACTACGGGCCGGGGCCCAGATTGCAGAAGAAAGGCAAATTACAGTTTGGACCTACATCATTGTGAATACGTACTATATGCTCCTCGTTTCAGTATTTCTCTGTTGGTCACTCACAAAAAGAATTTGTTTGGAAGCAATGATGCATTCCATCAAATCGTGGTTCTAACTGTTTCATATCCATAAAGTCGTCCATCGTTTTGGTTTTGTATCTCGTATTGCTGATCGAAGCGATCGGTACGACAGGGTTTCTAAAACGTTGTCGAAGAGATAAAAAAAAAAGTACGATCAAGTTGGATAATATAAGTTTAAACTCACCAGATTAGATATGTTGAATTTGACGAAAATTCGATTGGAGCAATTTTCCGGTACGAAGAAATTTTTTAGAGATTTGACTGTAAATTCTTCATCTTAACTTGTCGATCTAGTATCGATCTATATGTAGAGAGACAACAACTCGTTAAAACTTAAAAGCATCATTCGTATATTTTATCACGTCTATGGTACTAAGTAAATCATCATCATCATTTGTTTGGTTAATTCGGTAAGAATTTAATTTGATTGCCAAAGAAGCAAGCAAGCAAGTCGGCGGTCAAATTTTTTTGCTGGGATACCGTCTTTAAAGTTTAAACTGTTCGTACCAAATCTTCCTCGTTCCAGCTTTCCCCATTTATTTCTTCTTCTTCTTCTTGGCTCCATTCTCTCTGCAACTCTGGCCTACCTTCCAACCTCAGCTTTACCAAATCCAGATTCACAGCCAAAATAGCAATCCAATTCCAACGCTTCCATTGTCACCCTCGAAAAATGAAAACTAAGCGTAAACTCTCTTCTTCCTCATCAGTTGATGCCGCTGCTGTAGTCATGAAGCCCCGCTCCAAACAAACCACGGAGGTAATTTCACCATTCCCCACTCTTCTCCCTTCTTCTAGTTTTCGTTTCCATGGAGTTCTGGAACTGAGATTGGAATTACGGGCAGAGAAGTAGACCTGAACCGACTAGTTGTTTCGCTTGTTGGTGCCTACAGCTCTTCTGGCCGCGGGTCGTCGTCCGCAAGCTACTCAACATCACCGCCAAGGACTCCGATTACAGCGCCGACTCCGACTCCGATTCCGGCTCCGGCTCCGATTCCGATCCCCCTTCCGATTCCGAAGGTAAACCCTCCATTTTCCTTTCCCACCGGGCCGTGAATCAATCGCCGCCTCCCATTTTTTGTTGTTGTTTCATTACTGGTTCTCGATTCGCAGAGATTGGGCAAGGAAGAAGCAGAGCCGCATCGAGGTTTGGACGCGAGAACAGAGAAGGCGACGCACAGATCGATCCCAGCGGTATGCTTCCACAATTCCAATTTTAGCCTTTTTACCTTCCTGCCCATTTTGTTTCTTTTCACTCGTTTCCTACTTCTTTTTTTATTGGGTGCTTCCTTTGACTGGCAAATTTTAAGGTAGAAAGAGTAGTTGGTTGTTGGCGTCATCTGGTAATTGTTTACTCTTTTATCTTTCAACCTAATTGGTGCATCAAGGGCAGCTATCTGAAAGTACATGGGTCTGTTTCAGTCAACAATTGCTGCAGCTTATAGTAGTTATCAATCCGTAATCCAATAGGATTTAAAGTTGAAACTGTAAGGGTTTTACCTATGTAGAAGTTTTTTTTCTGGGGAAATGAATGATCAGATCAAGAACTGGATCTGCCATGGTGAATTAGGAGTTAGACCGAGCTCCATAACTATTAGGGAATGTTTTGGGTCTTGACTAGCACGTGGAATTATGTAAATTTGGCGTTAGTTAATGAACCATTATCACTATTTTAATGGATCATTTGTATAGTTGGAGACGTGGGTGGCACTTTCAGGAGATTGAAGGATTTGTATTAGCTGGAGTGGCCGGGCCTATTTCCTGTTTCTTTATCTCATTTGTTTACTGAGAACATAGTAGTTGGAGGGATTTGGGGTTAGAAAGAATTGTGGTTAGATCATGTTTTGATGTAATTAGGGTAAAAAGTTAAAGCCATTTGCTCATCACAATTTACGATGGCTTGGATTGGTCACTTTGATGCTTTGTTTCTGGGCCTAGTGATCAAGTTTTTTGTTGCGTGTACTGCAAACTGCTGTGAGAACACATGAGAAATCAGAAAGTCTCCTGCTTTATCTACTTCTGAGTTGTCAATATGTCGACATTAGAACCAGGGTTTTTGTTTCAGTTTCTGTCTCCCATGTTCTGGTGTTTACTTGACTTGAGTATGTTCGAAAATCATTGTATTTGCATTTACAGATGCACTTCCGAGGTCAAGGAGACGGAAGTCAGAGACTTTCAGGGCACAGTACATAAATACAAAGGAGCTCAGGTCCAGTTTCTCTTTCCTTTTAAACATGGCAATACAAAGATTGAAGCACATTAAAGTCTGAAAATGGTTTTTAAGTCTTTCTGTTTCTAAGTTTAGTGGTTGATGTTGTATCTTTCCGGTGGCAGAGTACGAGTTGCTACATGGAACGTTGGAGGCAAATTACCACCAGATGACCTGGATATCGATGATTGGGTTAATACTCATGACCCTGCAGATATATATGTACTCGGGTTAGTTTTCCTGGATTTGTATTTGTATTGCTTCTGATCTTTTAGCTTGTGCGTAGATAATTGTTGGAATCTGTTCCCTTGAATGATAGTTTACATTCAAGCTACCAGAGGATCGTCTCTCGAGGCAATTCTACTAGATGTATTGTGTTCTTACCTTCTGAAACATAAGATTCCTTTCATTATATCTCATCATATAAGGTGTTGCTTTACTCTCTCTCAGGCTTCAGGAAATTGTACCATTGAATGCTGGGAATATCTTTGGCGCTGAAGATAATAGGCCAGTCCCTAAGTGGGAAAATATTGTACGGGACACTCTAAACAGAATTAGACCGATGAAGACAAAGGTTAAATGCTATAGTGATCCAGCTTCTCCATCAAAATTTTATCCATCTGATGAGGTTCTAGGTGTTGAAGAAGAGCTTATACTCGAAAGCGATAGTGATATTGGAGAGGAAGTTCATCCTTTGGATGATGATTCCTATGGTATTGATGAAACGAAAGATAAGTTACGCTTTGGTGATGGGCACATGGGTACCATACATGAAGAAGTGGACCTGGAGAGGCAAACTTCTCGAAGGAGATTAGATCGAATGAATTGCATTCGCAACGAGGATGAATCACCAGAAAATTTAGAGGAATCTGTGGTAAACCAACAACAACAATGTAGAATATTGACTAGAGTGCTAAGTGGTTCTGAAAGGATTGGTTTGAGTTGGCCTGAGCAACCATTGAACCTGCTGTCTCAACATAGTTTACAGAGACCAGGCTCCTTCAAATCAATAAAAACGTTTACTGCAACCAAGTCCTTTGGAAGATACAACTCTTTTAAGTCCGTGTCAAATGATATGCAATCAGGGTTGGCTTTGCTCACTGAGATTGACCTGGAATCACTCTTGAAACGTAAGAGAAGATCTTCTTATGTGAGGATAGTTAGTAAGCAAATGGTTGGAGTGTTCGTCACTATTTGGGTTCGTAGGAGCTTGCGCAAGCATATTCAGAATGTCAAGGTTTCGACAGTCGGTGTTGGTGTTATGGGCTATATTGGCAACAAGGTCTGTTCCTCTCTTGCCTTGAAAACTTCCCAGAATTTCTTCTCCTGTATAGTCATTGTTTATTGATGAACTTCTTATTTTTTATTATGCATTGTGCTTATGATATTTTCCCCGGAAATCTTGACTGTTCTTATTCAATCATGCAGGGATCAATATCAGTGAGCATGTCTGTATACCAGACGCCTTTCTGCTTTGTTTGTTCCCACCTGACTTCTGGCGAAAAGGATGGGGATGAGCTCAAAAGAAATGCTGATGTGTATGAAATACATAGAAGAACACATTTCCATTCTATTTCAGGGATTGGGCTTCCTAAAAGCATCAAGGATCATGAGTGAGTATACCTGCATCTAATGATGACAATGCAGATTATGTTTGATCAGTGTCATAATCAGAATACACCATCTCCTTATGTTTAAGCACCATTATGTTTGGTCAACTATCTCTTTCTTGGTCTACATCCATAACATTTAAATTGGGAGCAAGGAAAGAAGCAATAAAATGTTCGTTTTAACATATCTGATTTGAATATCTTGTATAATTTGCAGAAGAGTTATATGGTTGGGCGATCTCAATTACCGTATCAATTTGTCATACGATAGAACACGGGAACTTATTGCCCGAAAGGAGTGGTCAAAGCTAGCTGAATATGACCAGGTAACAATCATTTCATTGTATGAAAAGAAGGGTATAGGATTCTAAGTTACCTTGTTCACATGAGCTCAATCTTTGTTTCATGGCAGCTCACAAAAGAACTTAGAAAAGGCCGTGCGTTTGATGGATGGCGAGAAGGTAAACTAGTCTTTCCACCAACATATAAGTACGAACTCAACTCAGATAGATACTACGGAGAGGATCCAAAGGCTGGGAGGCGTACTCCTGCATGGTAATACATAGCTCCTTCAAATTTTGCGTCACACATTTGGTTGTATTACACTGCCAATAAGCTTAGGGCTGTATGATTTTTCAGGTGTGACCGCATCCTTTCTCGCGGGAAAGGATTCAGGCTGCTGAACTACAGGAGAACCGAGCTCAAGTTCTCCGACCATCGACCAGTGAGTGCCACATACATGGTGGAGGTCGAGGTGTTCTGTCCCAAGAAGCTACAACGTGCGCTCACCATCACCGACGCAGAGATTGAGAACGAGGAAGTGGAGATTGGGATCGATATTGGAATGAGCTACTTGCAACTCGACAAGGTAAAGCTCTGGATTTCTGTCTTTTGCTCCATCTCTTATGTACTGCCATTTCCTACACAGTCTGTCTAAGTTGTCAGAGAATAAAACAATCTGATGCAGGAAACGTCGGTTTGGGAGATTGAGAGACCGAAATCATATACACACTACCCAATTAGGCAGCAATAGCTGAGTAGCTGGGAAGAGAAAGCTTGCCGCTTGACAATTCATACTCACATGTTATGCCACCCAAGTACACTCCGGCTATCCTACTGAATGATGGAGGTGTAATTACTGTGCTTATGCCTCCTGAGTCGTTTGATTTGCAATCGAATGATCGTGATGCACCTGAGACGCAACAAAAGAACGAGCGACTACAATGCGCTCACGTCTCTGTCCACATTGATCAAACGACTGAGGAAGCATTCAGCCTACTGATTCAACAGCCTTGCCAGATTTACACGAGTACTGATGTCACTGGTTCATTTGTTTCTTCATATTGGGTAATTTGTTGCAGTTCTGTGAAGGGCTTTTCTTTTTTACTTTTTGACTCCCCTAGAGCAATGGTTTTTTCTTCTTACATCTAGGTGAAAGTATGTACAGAAGATGGGTAGATAGAAAATTTAGTGAATAAAAGAGCATGGAAGGTTCGGGATGTCACATAAACATTATGTATCTAATCTTTGTGAATTCAACAAGTGGTCACATGCAAATTTTCGATTCTGTTGTGAATTTTATAGCTCTCTAACAATAGAAATGGTTCATCAATGGAAGTTCAAGTTCTTAATTATGTAAACATGAAGATGAACTTGAAAAGCCTTAAATTTTTTGGATATGCAGTAACTGTGTATCATTGTCTATTTGTTCCGGAGCTGAGAAGTGAACTTCAAGGAAACCATAGAAACCGTGTTGATAACTGATTTCACTGTCTTAGAACTTCTATGAAGATAATTAACTACAAAATAAATGAAAAGAAAAAAGGTTTAGTTTGGACTTGGGAGATTTGTGGTAGAACGATCTACAACGTGTTCCCAATGAGTTGGCTCGGGAACGCGCCATTAAAACCCAACCCATTACCCCTTCAATTAACTTTAGTCGATTCTGTAACGGCGGATCCTTCCTGCATTCCCTCATCTTTTTGTCCAGCTTCAAGTTCCAAGTACCACGTCCGATCAAGTCAATTCCATTGATCTCTATCTTACACTCAACTCCTCCGTTGCTCTACCATCGACCATGTTCCTCCTCAAGGTAACTGCACTTTCCAATTCCTCTCTTCGCTTCCTTGATCCTTCCATTCGTTAATGGATTGTTTCTGCGCAGACATGGAGACAGACCGCTTTCGGTGTTTTTGGGTACATGAACTTCACCAAGTCCGCTTTCCTGTAAGTCCAATTCCTCCCTTCATTTTTACCTCCATTTCTTTCTACTGTACTTCGATTCCCATTGCCCAAAGCTTATAGCTGGAAATGGGGTTATGAGTTTCAATCCCCAAAGTTCTGTTCTTTTCCTTCTAGGCCAATTGGGGTCTGAATTGGAATTGAAATTTTCTCATTCTCTCTAGCGAATTTAGTTTAATGGAAATGTGGTATCTCCCAAATTTGTGATTTGTGTTAGGGAGCATGCAAAGCAATTCAAGCCAGAGGATATGGAGAAGAGAATCGATGGGAAGAACTGTGTAGTAACAGGAGCGAATTCCGGGATTGGTTATGCCACTGCTGAAGGGCTTGCTTCACGGTGGGACTATCTAGATTCCAGCCTCTTTCTGTTAATCTGCTTGATACATTTGAAAATTTGTGTCAGTTTTGATCTTACTGATGTTTTCTATTTCCAGTGGGGCGACTGTCTACATGGTTTGCCGAAGCAAGGAGAGAGGGGAAGCTGCACTTTCCGAAATCCGATCTTCCACAGGGAACCCAAATGTTCATTTGGAGGTATGTTTGTGTGTGCATTGTGTACTATGAACTATGAAGTGAATGATGGCCACCCAATGTTGTGTGCTTGTACATCAGTCTGAATGTGGTCATGAGCTTCATTAGCATGAATATTAGAATTCGCCCGTGAGCTTACAATTGACATTGTCGTTTAAAGATTTTGAATGGGAATACCATATGTCAATGGTAACATTGATGGAATGACACTGAAATGAGCTTTTGTAGTTTGCTGAAGCAGTCTTGCTTCAGTTATATGCTTATTGCGCATGAAGCTCTACCCTAGATTCCTTGACGAGTCATTTCCTAAGTGAAAGTTCGACCTTTTACATGCTTGAAAACATGCAAATTGGTGACAGTGCTGTATTTCTCAAGTTTGCTTATTACATTTAGCTCGCAGGTTTGTGACCTTTCATCGATCAACGATATCAAGTCTTTCGCAGCCAGATTTTCTTCCAAGGAAGTACCTGTTCATGTGTTGGTATATAGCTCTACTCTTCATTTACTACCGAGGAAATGTTTTAGAAGCTAATAGCGAAGTGCAAGTCTGTCTATTGACTAATCTGGATACTTTGTTACCTTTAAGGTCAACAATGCTGGTTTGCTGGAGAATAGCAAGATCACAACCTCAGAAGGGTGAATCTCTCCTTTCCCAGAACAATCTAAAGTCATTAAACGATACAAAGAAGATTGTATCTTATAATTTTCAGTATCATGATCTTCCATGCAGATTTGAACTGAATTTTGCTGTGAATGTGTTGGGCACTTACACCATGACTGAACTCATGCGGCCCATGTTGGAGAAAGCTGCACCTGATTCACGCGTCATAACAGTTTCCTCCGGGGGAATGTACACTACTCCCTTGACCACTGATCTCCAGGTTGATTTTCTTCTAAAAACTCCTGTACCCATGCTATGGTTTCGCCACGAGTTGCCATTAAACAAACTACACATTATGTTCTGATGCAGTTTTCAGATGGAAACTTCGACGGAGTAGCACAGTATGCTCGAAACAAGCGAGCTCAGGTTAGCAACCACTGACTTTTCGCTTTCATGTCTCCAAATTAGCAGTTTTGTGAGCGGGATGACTAAAGTTCTGTAGTCATGATCCTGAAGCACTGACTTGTTCTTCAGGTGGCATTAACCGAAAACTGGGCAGAAATGTACAAGGACAAAGGAATATCATTTTACTCGATGCATCCTGGTTGGGCTGAGACCCCTGGAGTTGCCAAGAGCTTGCCTAGTTTCAATGAAAGGTAAATAATTAATCTACCCATATGATATGATCTCAGCTGTGGGTCATCCAGTTATCTGCTCCACCTGATGATTTCTTCTTTCAGGTTTGCTGGGAAGTTAAGAACGAAGGAAGAAGGTGCAGACACTGTTGTTTGGTTAGCTTTGCAGCCCAAAGAGAAGTTGACATCTGGTGCATTCTACTTCGATCGTGCTGAAGCTCCAAAGCATCTGACCTTCTCTGCTACCAAGGGCTCTCACGCATTGATTGGTTCCATTGTTGATGCTCTACGATCCTTGGCCAAGATTTCGTGAATAAGTTTAGTGAAGTTGCAGCAAGTGTATATTTATGGGGAAATCATTCAAACCCGTTATCTCAAATGCATGCTACTCTGTTTTGTACCTTGTCGAGTGATGTAATTGTAGGAGAATATTGTCAAAAGTGAAATAAAGGTATCCTTTTTAGTGTATTTTTCAAATTTGTCGTGCTAATAATACTTCATTTTACTCTATTTTGGTGCATCAGAAATTAGTTTTCTTGTTGGGGACATTAGCTATCGAACGAACAATCCAAGTCGATTCTCGTAGTAAATTAGATCAAATGCACATTTGCTCCGAATCGAAATACTCTGTAAACATCGAACTTCTTATTACCAAGGATTGACTATATATATGTTACACTATCAAGTAGGACACACACTCTGAAGTCTATAATTGAGTTCAAAAACTAATGAACCCTAACTTCTCCCTTTCTCCAACACATTTCTTTTTATACAAATTTCCAATCAAAACAGAATCTTTTTATTTAAGCCCCTTCCCTTGTTCCAACTCCTGCATATCCATTGCTATCACATGAATTAACCGATGAATCCAGAAGAAGCATTGGCTTAATCTTCCAGTACTGCTGCAATCTCTGCCTCGCATACTCCAGATAGTCGAAATCGATTTGGTTCACGTATCTCTGCAAGCAAATATAACATAGAAACGAAATGTCAACTCAATCCGGCTGTGTGTGTTACAAAAGGAAGGGACTTGGCTGAACAAGTTGGAAGTGTAATATAGTACCGAAATTATGCCCCATAGCCCCCAGAAAAGATGGTTTGCAAGCTTATAGTTTTCTACAGCCTGAGCTAGTTGCAACACTTCATCTTCCGTTGGCTTGTCTCCAGACGAGCTGAGGTAAGCACGGATGAATCTGCAGCGCTCTTCGTGTCCTGGTACAAGAAATGATGCGCTGGGATTGAGCAACCAGAGTAGATGGAGAACAAACATGTTCATGAAGGGAAGAGATCGAGTTGAGTTAGGTAGATTACCTGGGTATTTGCTGAAATCCACGATGTGTGGAGTATCAGAATGGTAATTCGCAGCCATTTCGCAGAAGTGATTTGCCAGGTCATAAGCAATGTGGTTGTAGCTTGCATACTCGTAATCCTGCAAAGTGTTGGAATGAAGGAGATTATAAGAAACAAGTATATATATGCACTGAAACACATTTTTCTAGTTATTAAGCCAAACCGAACCTTTCCTCGAAGGAGAAATACCTCAGAAAAGGAAGGACCTTTTCATTGGGTTCTCAATGTTTTGGGTTGGAAATTAATTTCAGAGCTGCAACAGTTTTAACAAAAAATAAACAATCGTCACCAGTAACAAACATGCATATGCCACACAGACCACTTTGAACATGTTGAAAACAAAATAAGAGTTGATTAATCAGAATTGTAACATATTCAACACAGTTCTTTTTGGGATTTGGTCCATGCACATGGCCTATTTGGAACTGTTAAATATGGCTATAAAGCAGCTAATTCAGCTAAAGTACAAAAGAAGTTGTCTTTGTTTCTGTCCTACTTAAACTTCTTAACATTAGAGATCAATTAAACACAGATACGGTCCATTCAACATCTGGGAAACGAAGAGAAAATCACAGCTTAAACACAACAGTAACTTAAATTGGTGAACAAGTCATGAGAAAGAAAGGTGTAATAGACTTACAATCAAAGTGATAGCCTTTGTTTCTTCATCGATCATTATATTGCCATATTGCAGATCATTGTGACAGAATCCAATCTGATGGCACCCTTTTGAGATCTCCTTCTCCAGCATATTGATCTCATCTTCCAAAACATCCAAGCGAAACTCTTTAGCATCTCTCACAGTGCACAAGCTTCTAGCCTCACCCAACAAATCCCTTGAAAAGAAGAGTCCAACAGAACCACAAATTAGACAACAAAACAAAAAACCAAAAAAGGAACAGTCATGATCCCCCTCAAACTTCTGCTTTTTTCTTAAAAATTTCAGTACCTCATTTTGTTCCAAAGTGACACAGTCTTTGAGCCAGGCATCTCCAGATTGTGAAACTCCCTCATCTTTGCTGCTATCAGAGCAGAAGTCTCAGGGTCCCTTAGATCAGCAGCTGAAAGTGTCTGCACAACCCCAAATTGGTAGAATTCAGCAAAAAAAAAAGTCAACTGAATGATTCTATTGAAGGGTTAAAAGAACAGTGTTCAATTTTGATCATCATTAACCTTACCCTAGCATGGATGAACTCTTCAACCCTGCCTTCAGGGAACCTGCCAAGAAGCCTAGGTCCCTGACCATGGTTAGACATACACTCAAACGTCCTGACTTCATCATCCCTGTTGAAGAACAGATCAACCCCTTCGCCATAGATTCTAATCAACAGCTTCCTGTGGATTCCTTCCCCTCCTCCTTTAGTCGGCCAGTTAACCTGGTACACCTCATTAGTCATCGCACCTTTCATTGGTATCACCTGCAAGGCTTTCATGTCCTCCACCACATCTCCCCATTCCATGGCCAGAGATTGCAGCACTCTCTTCAGCTCCTCTGGGAAGATCCCATCGATGAACCCATTTGTCTTGATTGCCATTTCGTTGGGAAATTCACAGCTACAGAGAATTCAAGAAAAGAAAACCCAACAACAGAAGCAAGATGAAGAAGAAGAAAAATGAAGATGACCCGGTAAAGATCTGCGGGGGAATTGCTCTCAATTTATAGCCCTAAAACCCCACCCAACAGCAGCAAAAGTAAATTCCCAAAAACTTGAATCTTTTGCTTTATATTACAGAGAATTAAAATTGAGAATCTGGGTAGTGGGGAAAATGGGGAATCTTTGAATTAGACGAGATAAAGTTTCAATCTTTGAAGGCGAAAGGGGAAAATTTGGGGCGAAATGATATTCTCTTTACTTTACAAACCTCGACGCCCAGCTGGGTTTGCTTAATAAGTAGAGCGAGCCAACTGCCCGCGTAAATCCATCCTCTTGGATTGCGTGTTCGTTACAACTGTGAGACGGTGACGCAGGGAGCGGACGACAGACCAATCAGGGGTCGCCACGTAAGGGATTCTCCCCTGGACGAATCTCTTTTGTTTTGTCTGGCGACGCGGTCTGGGGAAAACAGTTATGGCGGGGAAAGCTGGGAGGTTGGATTTTCTCGAGAAAATGGAGGAAATTGTGGCGAGAAAATTAACTGTCACTTCACCGGCGCCAAGTGGTGGGCTCTAACTTCTAACCACAAAAACGAGACCGCACCGAACAAATATCTTTTTTTCCTCCCTTTTGTGACACAAATGACAGGTATAGGGAATCTGATTTCCCTCCATTTTAGTTTGTCCTTATTTTTAAATAATTAAAATTTAAAGCAAATTGATCAAAGCGAAAAACATAAAAAAAAATGCAAAGAAGTTGTTGTTTGGGTCTTGATGAAGTTCAATTTGTTTTAACATATGTCACGTATTTTCCATAAACATTTGCTATAAATAAGCTAAAGATAACGCTAATTCATTATATGATCTGATTGCATCAATAATAATGTTATTCTTCTAAATATGTAAAAAAAAAATAACATGAATCAAAGCCTATATTAAATGCGTCTAACATGATGAAATATCAAAATTTCCTCACAAATATGTTCATTTATGACATATATTCGTTTTTTTTTTTTTTTTTGTAATATGGACACTGAAGACAATAATTGTAACAAGGCCAGTAAGATTTCTGGATAAGATTTGAAAGAAGAATTTAAATAGGTAAAATAAAAGGCCGGTGGGCTGGTTTGACTGGCTTTCGTCTGTCCCCAATTCCCAAAACAGAAGAAGTAATGTAAAATCGTTGAAAATGTGCTACAGAGATAGAATAATGAACTACTTCGTGGACCAATAAGTGAATTCCTGTTTAATTAAGGCACCGGAAAAACGAATATTTTTTAGGGCTGGGAGGACCCTACTAAATTTATTTATTTCATTTGAGGATAAGGGTTGGAATTTCTTTTGGTTTTAAAAACATATAATTGTTTATTATTATTATTATTTTAGCTGAAAGTCCAAAAGTTCGGCTGCCTTAAAGTTTTTATTTATTTAATATGGTTGTGTCCTACTAAACCCATCTTTAATGAGTAAACTCAAATTTTGACAAAGCACATTAAGTGCTTTGTTCTGGTTTAATTAGTACTACACAAGAAAACTATACCCCATTGATATATCAGATAATTAATTAAATAGGCTTCATATTTGAAATTTTACAACAATTTGACTTATTAAAATGCGTAATTTGTAATTGTGATTCTCGATAATAGAAGATATTTTTATGTGTGTTCGTCGATAATTTTAGGATAGATATATATGACGTGAAACTATATGATCCCTGATCTAATGTCCTGACCGTGTTATTAGTAGAATTCAACCAATTTATTATACGGTCACGTACATAATGTAATGGGCGAAAGGGAATAATTTAAGAGAGAAATCCTTTTTTTAACAAATTCCCAACTAATCTTGGTTATTATTTGATTAAATACCGAAAATATGCAGGAGATGGTGACGGTTTCAGAGATATGGGGGGAAATGTCAAGCAAGACAACAAGCTGAAAGACGACGTTTTTGTACTATGCAGAAAGTTTGTGTTGTCTCTTTTAATATTAGTTTGGGACAATCTGATTTCTTGTAGGGGAAACAAACAGTACTTTTGCAATTAGGGTTCACATTCCTAATTCTGCTGAAGTCGAGTCTGATTCGATATAAAATGCTAAGCTCCATAGTGTATTTGGGACAATTCGATAAAGTAACAATGAGAAAAGAAGCAATCTCGACTCTTTCCTATTGATTAATACGAGTATATTTGTCTAACTATATCAATCTTTCTTTTGTCATTTTTTTTGTTTTTTATCTCTCCTCTCTATTCTTCTTCATTTTAATTGGCGAAATTTATTATATTTCTTTTGGTGAAGTACCGAGTTCATGTAAGAATGAATGATATATCTACTACGAGTTCAAACATCGTTACAAACGATGGTTAGCGACGACAATCGATCCTGTTGGGACGAATAGTTCATTTTCATTATCCTACTTATACATTTCACGGGTTTCTACTCACATTCATACCCACACAAGAATCAGATAAAAATTAAAACTATACCCGTACGATCGAGTTTGGAAACCACCAACATTTATGAGTATAGTAGAAGAACTCATTCAGTAGTATACCGCTAACTATTGAAAGAAATCGAAAAATCTGAAACCATCACCCTTACGTTGTCAATCCACCGAGAAGTTCGACGATTTCTCTTACAGATGAGCTAGGACCAAACAATATTGGTTACAACTTACAAGGTAAAAAAAAAAAAACACCTTCCCCCAATAGGTAGATTATTTTCATTTTATTGACTACACAAATCTTATAAAGCCAAGATAGATTTCGAATCACAAATTATTATGCTCAAGTAGTAGGTCATATATCTACCCCATAACTTGCTTGAATAATTTATCAACTAATTAGAAAGGATATAGCTGGTAGGGTCTCAGATCGTTACAACCGTTCAAAGTGAAAACTTTCTTGGTATATGACCCATAATGCTCCTTTATTCTCTTCAAAGATTACTCTTTTTTGTACAGAATATAAATGATTGTGGATTTTGCACCAATTTTATAAAGATGGAAATGGGCAGAATTAAGGGCAGTCGATCAACCGCATATAACAACCTTCCATTTTGTTCTTTGCCTTTTCTGACCAAAGATGAGATTCCACCATTTTCGTTGGTCAAGGTTTCCCTAGCTAGCTAGCTTTGTTACTAGTTTCCAGAGAAAGATCTGGTTCTCGTTGAGAACCAAGTAAAGTAGCAGAAATTTCGGGTTGGAGAGAAAGAATGCGTAGAACAGTGGCAAAGTCGTGAATGTGAATGAGGATGACTGTTAATTGGAGAGAAAGGCTAATGCATTATCGATTACTCTATTTATCAACTTTGTTATGAATTTTGACGTGAAATTTTATCTACATTTCAAGGTTTAGTGGGATGATAATCTCTCATGGCTTTCAACTGAACTCTCTCACAGAGAACCCACATACTTATTTGAGAGAGAAATCATGATGCAACTCGGATCACTCCACATGACGTCTCTCGAGTTCGAAGAAAATACAACGATCGTGGTCTGAAGACGAAAGCTCTAGAGTCTCGAGAAGACAAAAGAGAAAGGTCTAATTTCCCAAGAGCTTATCGACGGAGGAGCTGGAGCTGTTCGAGGGTCGAAGCATGGTCGTAGGCCAAATTGGGAGGAAGAACTCACATCCTCGGCCAGCAGAGGGCAATCCCCGACTGGGGATCACGTCCAGACGACCCCCCGGTCATGAAACCAAACCCCCCCCCCCCCCCCCCGATCGGGGAGTTCAGATGGCGAGGGCGGGGGTCGGGCTGTTTGACGCTGTTAATTAGTGTTCTCAAGTGCTGTTTTTCATTAGTTTTTAGGGTTATTTTGCTACTCCTATATAAGGAGATGAGGTCTATGGTATGGGGTAATCAACCAAGTTTTATCTATCAAATAAATCGAAAGATTTTTTAGTTCAAGTTTGAACGGCTGTGCAAACTCTCCGTCGAGGATTCCAAAGGATTGTACAAGGCTCTTATATATCAACCAGACGATCACATCTGGTCGTGACGAGCGACGACTATACCGATTGGCCTTTTCCCACAGGTTCAGGATCGTTCGATGACCGATTTCAGCGTTATCTTTACTTTTTTTAGCGTTCTTGAAGAAAACTCTAGAAAACCCCAGAAAACGGAATGTTGCGTGTATATATTCTGATTGTTAAGCGAGTTCGAGCCCCTCGAACCCAACTCATATCAAATCAGCTACAGCTTTTGATTATTGGGTAGTGAAAGGTAACTTTGAAGTCTTGATTTGGGCCAAAGAGAACGACTAACAAAAGTCTTGCACTACTTGCAAGCCAAGAACACAACTCATGGTGTCATCACTTAGAGTATCTAACATCAAACACAAAACAATATGAAGTTAATTGCAAAGACAAACTCAAACATTTTCATAAGCTAAATGAAATCTCTAGTATTATTATTCAATCTTTTTATTTGACAAACTAACAATCAATAAGACTACTTATTTTCATGACAACTCTTTATCTAAATCGCGCGAACAACTCTAAACTGTAAGTAATGGCCTGAAAGATACCAATTCCTTTACATGGGAAAGATTCTCGTAAACAATTGCCTCGTAATACTTTGCCCTCCTGCCCTCGCCGCCGATTATGGCCGCGGACACGATCAGCTTGTAGTTTATGCCGGCGACATATTGGTGAAAACCTTTCACCACACTCACGAGCCTCAACGGGGAACCTCTGAAGCTCATATCTTGAGCCATCACTGCAAACTGAGCAATTTCCCTGACATGTTCACTGTTTACATTCTCTATCGGCTGCCATCCGCCGGTGTTTGCTCCGGCGCCGGACAAGATGATTGCGATGGTGGCGATGGCAAGAAGAAAGGTGGTTGGCCTCATTGTCTTTGATAAATTTCGAATTTTGTTGTTGTAGCTAGTTGTAGTTGTTTTTAATGCAAGGAGAGATTGATTATGGTTTGTATTTATAAGCTATGATCAGTATGAGACATGATTGTAATGATGGTTCGTATTATTTCGGCTATTGACTCTCCTCTTCTTTCGCATATTTGTTATCTTCTTAACCAAAACATTGAACTCTTTCATTATTCTCATTTTTGTGTCATGCACGGGTTCTTAATTATAGATTTAGTTATAGAGTGAAATCGAAAACTTGGTAAAACTATGGATAATATAATATAATATAATTCTCGATTAGATAAATTTTGTTATATACCATATTATGTAATGATATACCTTGAGAAATATCACACGGGAAGCAGTGAAAAGTGAAAGTGTGTGATTATAAATTGCAACACTTGAAAAGGGATATTTTCCCTTCCATTTTAGGGGGGAGGGTGGGGGAATCACGATTTGAGACAATCTTGGAAGTTTTACGACACAAATGATTATAAATTGTTTAATGTGAAATTATTAGACCTTTGTTTTTATTCTTTTTTATGCCTATATATTTTCTCATATAATTTTCTGGTACAAGGAGGCCTAGTACTGATTTTGGAATGGAAATGGACCAGTAGAATGAAGCAAAACTCGAGATTCATTAGTAACGAGCAAACAAAATCAAACCTTAATTTCTTTCCCTCGATTCTCCATTCACTATTTCATTTATTGCTTACTAGATGTATCAGAGTCGAAGATGAATGATTTGAATAGTATTGTATGTATCGTTTTTCTTATGCTTGAAGATCTACATCTTGAATTTAAAGTAAGTAATGTTGGATGTACGAGGCACCTATTACCCATTGGTACACGAAAACCACAAGTATGGGGTTGCAAAACCTTTCTCGTATAAGTGTGGGGTGGGTACGTGTTTGGATACTTGAAAATGAAGATGTATATGGTTTAGAGAAACCTAATACAAACCCGCCCCATTGCCATATGTACTCGCTGGGGAACAAAGAAAACCCAATGTAGATAAACGAGGGTAAAATCAAAATCTTGTATAACCCTTTTGTCTATTAATTGGATTCGGTTTTGTGTGGTAAATCGAACCAAGTAAATTTGGTTCGAAATTTCACAACCAAACTATTATTGGTTTAAGATTTTGTTAAGGGTTTTAGTGACTCTTATGTTTAGTTTTTGGCTATTTCGATTTGGTTTGCGCCAAACTAACCGAATGTCCATCCCAACCCCCAAATTTAACCTAGGTAACACAGTAATCCCCATATATAGTACTCTTTGACAAATCATAATCATCAATTATATTTTTTTAAAATGTTGATGTTATGATTTGAGTTTTGAGAATTAAGGATTGGTTTCACCTAGTAGAGGAGAACGTATAACTATTCGATAGTATAATGCCTTACATTCCAGTTAATTCTAGGTCTAAATAGCATCACCTTGTAAATCGTGCGATAAGGTTAGCATATGCTAGACTGACGTACATATGGAGTATACGGTACTTCGTACTCCAAGTGAGACGCCTTATCAGGATCATGAATAAGCCAGTGTTTGCAGTAGCGTGGGGCGGGACATGAGTATCAACTTTCGACCCACCCTGCCCCGTCCCGCCCTGTTCTTGGCCCGTTTTTAGGTCAATTTCTTAAGCCATCCATTCATATATCTCCAATTTTGACTATTCTAGGTTAAGATTAACTAGTTAGACTTGATCTTTTAACTAAATAGACTCAATTACCTATTATATTATCACTATTAATCATTGATGAAGTCTTTTCCCATTCGTTTTATCGTAAACATTAGAATTTTGCTTATTTTTTTCAAATAGCATATAAGAATGGGTTGACCCGCCCCACCCCAACCCATTGTCATCAATACGTACAAGAATAATCTTCCAATGCACATAAGAATCACACCTACATACTTAGTTCATGACCCATTCGTCATAGAGCTCTTACCTTCCAAGATGCTCTTCATCGGTGTTTACATCTATTGTTTTCTCGTGTTTTGTTTTGTGCTGATACGCAAATGTTCATTCGGATGGTCAACGCGAAGGATCTGTCGCATGCAATGGAGGGCCATCCGCACGAGGTTTAGGTGTTATGGTCTTCCTTTCTGCGTGTTTCGTTCCATTTTGTGTTGTGTAGGTATTTCAAGACTTTCAATATCGTGGCAAAAAAAAAATCTAAGCGTTGATTCCTACACTTATCGAGCAACGCCCCCCCCCCCTATTATGCTTCTCTTTTCAAAGATATTTATTGCATGAAAGGGGATTGCTCTATAGTTACCATTTTGCTAAATATCAATTATCAAATAAATGTAAATGAAGAAGCCAATAGTTGTATTCTATCAATTATCAAAACAAAACTACGAAATTAATTGCAGGAGCAAAATGTATAATTACATAAGCTTATAGCTCTCCATTATTAATAATTTTTATTTGACAAACACAAAACTAAAAAGTATTAGCTCCTTCGCATTAGAATTACTCTCGTGGACAAGAGTTTCATATAGATGTACCATGTGTCCCTCTTCTGGTGTAACCGCCGCCACGATGAGCAAGTAGTAGTTCTTTCCAGTTACCTGTTGGATTTTTCCTTTCTGCACTTTTAGGAGTTGTAGCGACCGGATAGGGATAGATATCAAATTGCTATGCTGCACTGCAAACTCTGCAATCTCTTTTATGTGCTCATCCTTCAAGTTCTTTATCGGCTCCCATCTATCAAAGCTCGCTCCAGTAGTAGACAACATGAGAGCAATAGTAGTTATCGCAACGAGAAATGTAATTGGCCTCATTCTAATAGTAATTGATCTTAATTATCTGTAAGATTTTGTGTTGTTGCTCTCTTTGGATGCGAGGGAGGATCATTTCCATTGTGCATTTATAGGTTTCCGGAGATGATTGTAATAATATTGTAATGTAAAATAGGTGAAATTTTGTGATTTTCATTGGTTGGTAGCTCTTTTTCCGTTTTTTGTGGCTCACTTAGCTTTTGACTCTCCTTTTCTTTTGAATGTTTGTTATTATCTTATGAGCTACACCTTGCATGTTGCGATAAGATCCTTAACTAATGTTCCTAATTTTCTTCTCTAAGGTATATAATTATGCATTTATTATGGAAGGAGTAAATTTAAAGACCTGATAAAAAAATGGAATAATAGAACATAATTCTAAAATTAGAAGATTTTATTGACTATATAATAATTAATAGGACTTACCTACAGTAACTTGGGTTAACTACGAGTAACTCTTATTTGCAATCAACCGAGTGAACCTGAACTGCTGGTTACCATTTGTTCTCTTATAAATGCTCGACCTACAGACTAATGTGGTTGACCTTAAACATCTTTATCATCATACAGAAACACTACTACAGTTTTTTCATTGATAAATATGCATTTTCAATTGAACTGGTCAACTAGTGTAGTGAAGATGTCGATCCTTATGAATTATCAATTATGGTCACTGAAAGAATACCACAGTCCACATTTAACTGCTAATATGATAACCAAATTAGTCTACACGATTGATCAAAGTTGTCCAATTAACTCTTACTTGAGATTTAAGACAAGTTACCATATGCTAGACTGACGTACATATGGAGTATACGATACTTCGTACTCCTAGTGAGATGCCTTATCAGGATCATGAATAAGCCAGTGTTTGCAGTATCGTGTGGCGAGATATGAGTATCAACTTCCGACCCGCCCTGCCCCATCCCGCCCCGTTCTTGGCCTGTTTTTAGGTCAATTTCTTACGTCATCCATTCATATATCTCCTATTTTGACTATTCTAGGTCAAGATTAACTAGTTAGACTTGATATTTCAACTAAATAGACTCAATTACCTATTATATTATCACTATTAATCATTCATGAAGTCTTTTCCCATTTGTTTTATCGTAAACATTAGAATTTTGCTTATTTTTTTCCAAATAGCATATAAGAATGAGTCGACCCACCCCGACCCGTTATAGCGTCAGTACCCGTCCCGCCCCGACCCATTGTCATCGGTACGTACAAGAATAATCTTCCAATGCACATAAGAATCACACCTACATACTTAGTTCATGACCCATTCGTCATAGAGCTCTTACCTTCCAAGATGCTCTTCATCGGTGTTTGCATCTATTGTTTTCTCGTGTTTTGTTTTGTGCTGATACGCAAATGTTCATTCAGATGGTCAATGCAAAGGATCTGTCGCATGCAATGGAGGGCTATCCGCACGAGGTTTAGGTGTTATGGTCTTCCTTTCTCCGTGTTTCGTTCCATTTTGTGTTGTGTAGGTATTTCAAGACTTTAAATATTGTGGCAAAAAAAAAAATCTGAGCGTTGATTCCTACACTTATCGAGCAACCCCCCCCCCCCCCTACTATGCTTCTCTTTTCAAAGATATTTATTACATGAAAGGGGATTGCTCTATAGTTACCATTTTGCTAAATATCAATTATCAAATAAATGTAAATGAAGAAGCCAATAGTTGTATTCTATCAATGTTGGGGGTGTTACTAAATACTTGACGCACAGACTAAGTAGGAGAGCGCACAGTCGGCGATGACAACACTCGGTACCCGCTACAGGTATATAAGGGCTTGAAACCCTCCAAAGAAGGGGACTTCTTCCCTCTCTCCCCACTTTCCACTTTCCGCTATCTCTCTACACTTCATCTCTCTATCGATTCTCTCAACTCTCTCCATAAACTTACACTAACTTGACCGTCGGAGCTTAATCCGGGGGGCATCCCCGACTCTTTCACAGGTTCTCTCCCTCCCGACGAGATCGGACGAACGGATCGTGAGTCAACCCCACACCGACAAATATCATTGTTCATACCGGAGTTAGATGGTTCAAACAATTGGCGCCCACCGTGGGGCTGATTTGGATTCGTTCGTTCGTTCGCGGAAGGAGGAAGAACTTTTGATCTGAAGTGAATACAAAAGCTTCATAAAAAAACTTGAAAAGCCAAAGCAGAGAAGAAGAAGAAACAGATTCCGACCGCCGGAGATAGGGGCGGCACCGGCGCCTTGATGAAAAAGAAAGAAGAGCCACTCTGCAGTCAACATCAGTACTTTCTATTCAGTCACCTCAACAGTAAAAAAAAAAAAGCAAAAGCAAAGCCACTTTCTCTCCTGTCAGAGGGAAGAGACAAGTGAAGTTCCCAAGAAGCCACCTTCCTCCAGCCCATCCTTCTTCCTGTCAGAGGGAAGAGACAGGCGAAGTTCCCAAGAAGCCACCTTCCTCCAGCCCATCCACTCCCGCGTCAAAAAATGTCATCGCCGCCAGTACTCGAACCAGCGCCATTTCTCCACCAGACGTACAAGTTAACCAGCGGACTAAAGCGCTTTGTTATTACTAAAAGCGCAGCGCGCCCTATTTATTCACTCTGACTCGCCTCGACAGCAACGCGCAAAGTGGGCTCTTGGGCAACTCGCGGCCCACCTCACCGCCTGTCCAACTTGCGGACGATCTCCAAGGCCCACCTCGCGCACAACTTCGTCCGCTCCCAAGCTCGCGGGACAAGCGCGCAAGCCCAACTCGCGCAGCGTCTTCCCTCAGCCCGCGACGCGCGCATGCCCAACTCGCGTCCGGCCCGCGTCACCAGCCCGCGACGCGCGCAAGCCAAACTCGTGCAGCGTCTTCCCCCAGCCCGCGACGCGCGCAAGCCCCGCGCAAGCCAAACTCGTGCAGCGTCTTCCCCCAGCCCGCGACGCGCGCAAGCCCAACTCACGGCAGCATCTTCCCCCAGCCCGCGACGCGCGCAGGCCCAACTCGCGACACAAGCATCGCAGCATCTTCCCCCAGCCCGCGACGCGCGCAGGCCCAACTCGCGACACAAGCATCGCAGCGTCTTCCCCCAGCCCGCGACGCGCGCAAGCCCAACTCGCGGCCGGCCCGCGTCACCAGCCCGTGACGCGCGCAAGCCCAACTCGCGGCCGAACTCGCGCGGGCATTCAACTGATCAGCACTCTTCAAAAAATATCATCGCCGCAAGCCCCGCGCAAGCCAAACTCGTGCAGCGTCTTCCCCCAGCCCGCGACGCGCGCAAGCCCAACTCACGGCAGCATCTTCCCCCAGCCCGCGACGCGCGCAGGCCCAACTCGCGACACAAGCATCGCAGCATCTTCCCCCAGCCCGCGACGCGCGCAGGCCCAACTCGCGACACAAGCATCGCAGCGTCTTCCCCCAGCCCGCGACGCGCGCAAGCCCAACTCGCGGCCGGCCCGCGTCACCAGCCCGTGACGCGCGCAAGCCCAACTCGCGGCCGAACTCGCGCGGGCATTCAACTGATCAGCACTCTTCAAAAAATATCATCGCCGCGAGGACTCGAACCCGCGCCACTCCTCCCCTAGACAAGCAACGTAACCAGCAGGCTACATGCACGCTTGGTGATCATTGGGCGCAGTACTCTGATATCAACAAACCCGCGCCATCACCAACTCGCGTCAAAAACAAATTGTCGTCTTCGCGAGGAATCGAACCCGCGCCATCACTCCGCCTCACAAGCGACATTACCAGTAGGCTACATACAAGCCTTTCGTTTCAAGGGCGCAGCGTCTGCCTTTTGACAACTCTTCGCGCCGCTTCGCCAATAGAAAGCTAAGTACTCTACCCCTTTTTCACTATCAAATATTGAAATATTTTACTCTAATGAGCGTTAATGGCGCTAAGGCAGAGGGCACATTGCCTCGAAGACTCCAAACTGAGGGTTAAAAACCCCGACGAGGAGGGCTCCAAACTGAGGGTTAAAAACCCCGACGAGGAGCCACAAATAAGTCTCAACGAAGCACACAAATAAGACTTCAATAAGAGCATCGAAGACTCCAAACTGAGGGTTAAAAACCCCGACGAGGAGGGCTCCAAACTGAGGGTTAAAAACCCCGACGAGGAGCCAAAAATAAGTCTCAACGAAGCACACAAATAAGACTTCAATAAGAGCATCGAAGACTCCAAACTGAGGGTTAAAAACCCCGACGAGGAGGGCTCCAAACTGAGGGTTAAAAACCCCGACGAGGAGCCACAAATAAGTCTCAACGAAGCACACAAATAAGACTTCAATAAGAGCATCGAAGACTCCAAACTGAGGGTTAAAAACCCCGACGAGGAGGGCTCCAAACTGAGGGTTAAAAACCCCGACGAGGAGCCACAAATAAGTCTCAACGAAGCACACAAATAAGACTTCAATAAGAGCATCGAAGACTCCAAACTGAGGGTTAAAAACCCCGACGAGGAGGGCTCCAAACTGAGGGTTAAAAACCCCGACGAGGAGCCACAAATAAGTCTCAACGAAGCACACAAATAAGACTTCAATAAGAGCATCGAAGACTCCAAACTGAGGGTTAAAAACCCCGACGAGGAGGGCTCCAAACTGAGGGTTTGAAAAAAAAAAAAAAAAAAAAGCCACCACCAACCCGCGTCCACAAGCGCAATGCACCCTTGCTCGCGCCCAAGCGCGCTCGCGGCCCGCACTGCAGGCGGCCCAACACCCCTTAGCCCGCCTTCTCTATTCGCGGCCCACTTCCGCTCGGCGGCTCAGCTCGCGGCCCATCCCGACTCAACCCGCGTCCACAAGCGCACTGCACCCTTGCTCGCGCCCAAGCGCACTCGCGGCCCACATTCAACAGGCGCACTATTTAAAAATAATGTCATCGTCGCCAGACCTCGAACCCGCGCCACTATTCTGCCGGACAAGCAAGGTTACCAGCAAGCTACAAGCGAGCCTTGTGTTTCAATGGCGCGGCACCTGATGTTTAACTACTCACGCCCACTCAGTTCCACTGAACAAATTCGCAATAGTCACGAACTATTCGCGCCCACTCAGTTCCACGGAACAAAAAGTCGCAATAGTCACGAACTATTCGCGCCCACTCGGTTCAACAAAAGCTAAGTACTTTGTCCCTCTATCATTATTAAATATTGAAATATTTTACTTGCTGAGCGTTAATGGCGCTAATGGGGGGCTACACGCCTTAATGGAATACACCAACTGGGGGGCAAGACGCAAGAAGCTGGCACCGCGTCAGTCAAACGCGGCACCACCTGGGGGGCAACTGGGGCACATAGGGCTCCACCCAGAATTACCGACGAAGATTTAAAAAAAAAATATATATCTATATAAGCTAGCGATGAGTTAAAACTCACCACCAGTTTGGGGGGCAATTGTTGGGGGTGTTACTAAATACTTGACGCACAGACTAAGTAGGAGAGCGCACAGTCGGCGATGACAACACTCGGTACCCGCTACAGGTATATAAGGGCTTGAAACCCTCCAAAGAAGGGGACTTCTTCCCTCTCTCCCCACTTTCCACTTTCCGCTATCTCTCTACACTTCATCTCTCTATCGATTCTCTCAACTCTCTCCATAAACTTACACTAACTTGACCGTCGGAGCTTAATCCGGGGGGCATCCCCGACTCTTTCACAGGTTCTCTCCCTCCCGACGAGATCGGACGAACGGATCGTGAGTCAACCCCACACCGACAAATATCATTGTTCATACCGGAGTTAGATGGTTCAAACAATCAATTATCAGAACAAAACTACGAAATTAATTGCAAGAGCAAAGTGTATAATTACATAAGCTTATAGCTCTCCATTATTAATAATTTTTATTTGACAAACACAAAACTAAAAGCTACTAATTTTTTAGGGTTGGTGTTGATCCGCGAAACGGTCTAAAAAGTATTAGCTCCTTCGCATTAGAAATACTCTCGTGGACAAGAGTTTCATATAGATGTACCATGTGTCCCTCTTCTGGTGTAACCGCCGCCACGATGAGCAAGTAGTTCTTTCCAGCCACCTGTTGGATTTTTCCTTCCTGCACTTTTAGGAGTTGTAGCGACCGGATAGGGATAGATATCAAATTGCTATGCTGCACTGCAAACTCTGCAATCTCTTTTATGTGCTCATCCTTCAAGTTCTTTATCGGCTCCCATCTATCAAAGCTCGCTCCAGTAGTAGACAACATGAGAGCAATAGTAGTGATCGCAACGAGAAATGTAATTGGCCTCATTCTTACAGTAATTGATCTTAATTATCTGTAAGATTTTGTGTTGTTGCTCTCTTTGGATGCGAGGCAGGATCATTTCCATTGTGCATTTATAGGTTTCCCGAGATGATTGTAATAATATTGTAATGTAAAATAGGTGAAATTTTGTGATTTTCATTGGTTGGTAGCTCTTTTCCGATTTTTGTGTCTCACTTAGCTTTTGACTCTCCTTTTCTTTTGAATGTTTGTTATTATCTTATGAGTTTCACCTTGCATGTTGCGATAAGATCCTTAACTAATGTTCCTTATTTTCTTCTCTAAGGTATATAATTATGCATTTATTATGGAAGGAGTAAAATTAAAGACCTAATAAAATTGGACTAATAGAACATAATTCTAAAATTAGAAGATTTTATTGACTATATAATAATTAATAGGACTTACCTACAGTAACTTGGGTTAACTACAAGTAACTCTTATTTGCAATCAACCGAGTGAACCTGAACTGTTGGTCGCCATTTGTTCTCTTATAAATGCTCGACCTACAGATTAATGTGATTGACCTTAAACATCTTTATCATCATATAGAAACACAACTACAGTTTTTTCATTGATACAATATGCATTTTCAATTGAACTGGTCAACTAGCGTAGTGAAGATGTAGATCCTTATGAATTATGAGTCACTAAAAGAACACCACATATAACTGCTAATATGATGAACCAAATTAGTGTAAATGGCTTATCAAAATTGTCCAATTAACCTTCTCAAAAAAAAAAACTTCTCAAAATTGTCCAATTAACTCTTACTTGTGAGATTTAACGCAAGTTAACATATGCATTATGCATATACTAAATAATTGATACTGGGCTTGCGCCCGTTCCTGGCCCACTTAGTAACCCTATGGGCTTCCTGCGGGCCCCTGCCGTGCCTAATTGTATGGGCCTTCTTGGAGTATGCCCAACACATTCATACTCGAACCAATTGCCCAACAAAAATCTCGTAAGAATACGATGATATCCAAGCCGGCAACAACAGCCATTTAGGAGTCGTTTGGCTTAGTGATAGTTTGGTTGGAATAGTTACAATGCATGTAATGTCCATAATGTATCGTGTGTTTTTTTTTTAATTTTCTGTGCAAACAATATATGCATTGTTTGCTTGATTTGACACAAACTATCACTCAAAATGAGTGATAGTTAAATCTCAAGTTTTCGTTGAGATTGTTGAGATTGTTTGATGGAGATTGTTGTGTTTTCTTCTTCTTCCAAATATGTCCCTACCTTTTTATGTGTGTTGCTTTTTTATATTAAAAACAAAGGGCAAAAGTGACATTTCACTCAAAAAGTAATACGATTTATTTAAATACTACAATAACTATCACAGAAACCAAACGATATAAACTACAATACACCAATTTTCTTATATACATTGTATATTATTATGCATGCATAGATGACAATACATCGATTTAACTATCATCAAAACCAAACCACCCCTTAATTATAAAATCCCATTACGCGACATGAGAGTGGACCCTTATGCACCAATTATTTTCACTTAAAGGCAAAGAAGTGGAAGCCAACAGCTAGTTGTAACAACAACAAAACCCACAACAAAAAAAAATTCCAGAAACAGAGAGCTCCTTCCTTCCCAGAAACATGGGAAACAACGACAACAATAATATCAGTACTAAGAACCAAACCTCATCAAAATACTGGAGATGTTTGGTCTTTTCCATCCTCTTGAATTTTGCCTTCTTTGGGTACAACCTTTACTTCTCCGTCGTCGACGACGGAGGGCTGAGCTGGAGCAGGGGAGCGGCAGGGGAAGCAGAGGCGGTGGCTTCCATCTCCTGCTCCGGCCACGGCAGGGCTTACTTGGATGGCGTCATCTCCGCCGGCGACGGCTTGCCGGTTTGTGAGTGCAACACTTGCTATGGCGGCAGCGATTGTTCTCAGTTTTCCCCTTCTTGCTCTGCCGACGCTGATGGGTAAGTTTTTTTTCAATTAGTGGGTTCTTTGTATTAATTTGAGATTAATTTTATTTGATGATGAATATTGATTGATTTGAGCGTGAATTATAAAAAAAGAGATCAACTTCCAACACGTTACAAGAGAGAAAATCACTGTAATTAAGTATTGATGGGTGCAAAGCATTTTAGAAGAGGGGAAAAAAATCATAACGAGGAATGCAATGAAAGTAAACCCCACTATTTGTAAAAAAAAAAAAAAAAAAGTAAACCCCACTAATCAGGGATTAGTTTATTGATATTTAGTGGGAATCAAGATGGGATTAGTTAGCGTTCATGGATGTGGCCTGCAGCTTAATTAATTTGTGTTATATTAATTTCTGGCAGAGATGCTAGCAAGGTTGTCAACCCGCGGGTTGACCCGGACCCGGTCAAGCTAGTGGGTCAAGGGTTAATGGGTCAACCGTTTTAGCCCGGTTTGGCCCGAAAATATAGAAAGAGTCATTATATTGTACTTATCCTCATAAATTATATCAAATCTTATCTAACATATGGGTTATAACATATAATATTATACCAAAATAACATATCGTACTTAGATCCAACATATAGTGAAAATTCACACACACTTATATACCATAAATATTATAATGTTCAACTTAGTATTCCAAAGATTGAGTTAGGCGAAAATAAAAATTGGAAAATAGGCGCATTTCGCAAACTAAAGAAAAAAATGACACAATTTGACCTCCAACCCGGTACCTTATAGCGGTCGGCCCGGCGAGTGCGTGCGGCCCGTTTTTCTCACCGAGTCAGGGTCAAATTGGGTCGACCTGTGGGTCAACCCGCGGGTTGACAACCTTGGATGCTAGCTACTAGAATGGACTTAGCGTGAATATGGCGTTCTCATTACATATATAATTGTAATTTTGATCATACAATTCATTTTAAAGTGGTCTAAATCGTTAGTTTTATAATAACCGTGAATTTATTCCAAAATTATTCAAAAAAAAAAAACTCCCGTATTGTGAGCAGTTCTGAGATTCCTCGGTGCAACTTTGCAAATTCATCTAATAACACCATTACAAAAGTAAACTCATACGTAGAATTGTAGCGTTTAATTGTAATCTTAAACTATACCACCATGTAAAGCAAATGTTGGCTATGATAATTAAAAAATTAATGCACAAAATAATAAAAAAATTAAACTAACACGGAATGTATTGTATCCTATTCACTCGAAACTTAACGTGTAACCTGGACGGGCACCTATTCAAGCTGAATTCAAGTGTTGTTTTCTTTTCTTTTTCATGTAGTTAAAGATAAGATCAACGAGATAGGTATCTTTTGCAACAAGAAAAATCAAGGGAATCTTGGACATTTATGGGAGAAAATTAAAAGATGTGGTAATCCTTGATAACAACGTACAGGACAATTAATGGAATAGCTTAGCAAAAGCCGTGCCGTCTATGGACTCAAAATCGGACGAGCATGAAAATAATCGATCAACAAAGACAGAATTGGTGAGACCAAAGCTGATTAAGATTAACCATTACACTCATCTCTCTAACCTACATATATATACAGTAAAGAAGGGTCGTGTCAGTCAGTGTTGAAATCTGTTAATCTAATAAGATAAATCATTATGGTAATGTAATGATACGATAATATTCAATAAATTTCTAAGTCGAGTATGTTGGTTATATCAAACCGAACGAATCGGAACTAACAGAAACAAGAACGAAAGCAACACATGGTTCACGTGGTTTTTTCGAGAACGGGATTAGTTCGCGGGAGAGTATAAGGCTCTCCAAGTTCTTTCTTCTATTGTGTTTTTCCTACTATTATTGAACACTCTCCCAACAACTCGAGTTATTAGAATCAATCGGTTCTTGACATGATTACAGAGTCTCCTTGCTAGAGGTATTTTGTACGAATCCTGCTAACCCCCACATTTCTAGACCTAGCTATACAAATCTCAAACTGATTGTTGTACAACATAAAAGCGCTTGTCTAGCTAATAACTCTGAAGTTCCAACTCATAAATTCTACATTTTTTTTTTGTTTATTTCCCCTGAATTTTGTCAACATCAATGAGTTGTTTTTTTTTTAGTGATAACGAAAGTACGTAGAACCCACAATAGCTTTATCACTCACCAAAATAAATACAAACCCCACAAATTCTCAACTCTCCATAGACAAAAGCTCCGTCCACAAAAAAACACAAGATATGGGAAACAAATCTCTATCAAAACACTCGACATGTTTGGTCTTTTCCATCCTCTTGAATTTCCTCCTCTTTGGCTACAACCTCTACTTCTCCACCGTCGACGACGGTGGGCTGAGCTGGAGCCGGGGAGCGGCGGAGGAAGCAGAGGCGGTGGCTGCCATCTCATGCTCCGGCCACGGCAGAGCTTACTTAGATGGCGTCACCTCTGGCGACTTGCCGGTTTGTGAGTGTAACACTTGCTACGGCGGCAGGGATTGCTCCAAGTTCTCACCTTCTTGCTCTGCCGACGTCGATAGGTAAGTTCTTTCAAGTAATTAAGGTTGGAAAAAAACGGATTACATAGCTTGTAAATTACGAGGAAGCGACTCGACAACGTAAAAAATCGTTGGTTTTCGATTTAGAGGTCTCGAATTCGAGTTTTGATTACGTCGATGAGTGAGAATAAATCGTGCAACTACCATCGGTTAGTCTGTTGGTTAGTCGAGATCGCCAAGCAATTAGTTTTAATTTTGTTTTATGGAACTGGCCTGCAGCTTTGTGTATATACTAATGGCCATAGGGATGCTACTAGCTAGAATAATGGAATTTAATTTGTTCAAGCTGAAATTAACAATGATATTGATTTTTTTTTCCCATCAACCATTTTAGTTAAATAAAAAAATAGTATATAAAATTCTAAAAACATTTATTGAAATATATTAGAGGTGTTTTTTCCTTTATGAATAGAAAGGTCCTTTTATTATGAGGATAAGATGAACGATGGTATTTCCACCATTAAAATTTTGGGAATCTTATAGCAACATTTCGACGGTATCTTCACTCAAAGAAACGTTTCCACAGTTTCATATGTGAAAATGAAAGGTATCTTTAGTTTAAAAAAAATATATTTAAAGGAATCTTTTCTGGAGGAAAATAGAAAAGGGTAGAGTGAAGACAAGCAAGTGTAGACAACGATGGCTAATTAATTACTATTTTGTAAGGAAATCAATTATGGGACGGAAATAATCTAATCTATTGTGCATACGTGAGCGGTGACTTATTAATTGTGGCCCTAATATGCCTTATGGGCCCGCCTTATAGAACAATTTAGAAGGCATTAGATAAATAAAAGCCCATCAATTTTACACCAAGTCACAAAATATGGATAAATTGCTCAAACACAAATATCAATAGTAGTTTTAGGTTATGATTATCGTTCAGCACGTTATATTTCTTTTGCGCTTTGTAAGTATAATAGAGTCGTCTTAACAAAAATGACGTGATTGTATTGTTAATTCGTACACTTATCGACCAACAATTTCATACTTAAACTAAACATTAATTAGGTGATGTATATGCACAACATAACCAACAACCACCTAACTTACAAACTGTTGACGAAATGATTGATCTTAACCATCAACCACCTAACTTATTAAAAAAAAAATCCTTATAATAATTATAATGGACTTTTCGTCTTTTCGTATTTCTCATATTTCCCTTGAAATTTTGCTAGCATTAATTTAATCAATTAATTTTGGTGATAATGATGACATGGCAGCGGCAATCCCCTGTTTCTGGAGCCGTACTGGAGGCAACGCGCCGCCGCGAGCGCCCTCGTGGTCTCCGGCTGGCACCGGATGGGCTACTCCTTCCCCGACGGCACCAACATCTCGCCGGAGCTCGAGCGCCACATCCGCCAGCTACACGCCGTCGTCGGAAACGCCGTCACCGAGGGCAGGTTCATCGTCTTCGGAGCCGGATCCACTCAACTCCTCAACGCCGCCGTCCACGCCCTCTCCCCCGACGTCCCATCCACCTCCTCCACCGCCGGCGGCGGCGGCGGGGTCGCCGCCGGAGTGGTGGCCACCGCCCCGTTCTACCCGATCTACGAGCTGCAGACGGAGTACTTCGCGTCGGTGGATTTCCAGTACCAGGGGGACACGTCCCTCTGGATCGCCGGCGGGAACAGCTCGTCGGAGAAGAAGAATCTCCCCGACGGGAAGACGATCATTGAATTTGTCACGTCGCCGAATAATCCGGACGGGAAGCTGAACGAGGCCGTTCTTAAGGGCCCGAATTTCAAGGCGATTTACGACCGGGCTTACTACTGGCCCCATTTCACTCCGATCCCGGCGGCCGACGACGGGGAGCTCAAGATCTTCACACTGTCCAAGCTCACCGGCCACGCCGGCTCCCGATTTGGGTACGTGTACCCCAAAAAGAAAAAATCTCTTATATACGATGTCGTTTTCTAAGTTAACTCTTGGGCCTAGGTATCCACGGATCCGGCCCAATCCAATTCTAATGGTTTGGGCTGCGGCGGCCCAACCCAATCTCATTGAAGTTTCCTAGCTATATTTCAGATGGGCTATCGTGAAAGACGAGGACGTGTACAACAAAATGCTGATGCACATGCAGCTGAACACCATGGGCGTTTCGCGGGACACCCAGCTCCGAGCTCTCAAGCTTCTGAAAACCATCATGGCGGAAGGCGGCGGGCGGACCATCTTCGACTTCGGCTACCAGACCATGAAGTCCAGGTGGGAGAAGCTGCGGAAAGTCGTTTCGGTGTCGAAACGTTTCTCCCTCCAGGACGTTTCGTCCCACTACTGCGTTTTCTCCGGCCGAGTCAGAGAATCCTCCCCAGGTAATTTATAACCAAGGTTGTCAAACCGGTTTATGCCAGTGTGCCAGTTTAGCAAGTGGAATGGTTCAACCGGTGGTACATACCGGTTTGTGCCGGTTCATGCCGGTCAATATTACAAATAAAATTATAAATACTCATATTTAAACATGGCATTTAAAGTCAATACCTAAACATTTATACTTGAATCCAACAAATAACATCAATATTTAACTTTTATACTCATAAAATAAATAATAAAATAATTTTTATCAATTAAATTCTCTAAAATAAGGTCATTTTACTTAGAGATTCGTATATCGATCATGCCGGTTATACCGGTGGTGTCACGCCGGTTTTATGACCGGTACCGGTTGAACCCGGTACAACCGGTGGCACGCCGGCCGGCGTGACAACCATGTTTATAACTAATCAAAACCATGCATGCATTGTTATCGATGCAGTCAAAAATCAGAAGTGTATAAAATGTAAGCTTTCAAACTTTTAAAGCGCGCGATTTAATGTCATGCATGCATGCAGCGTACGGATGGTTGAAGTGCGAAAGAGAGGAAGAGAGCGATTGCTATGGAGTGCTTAAGGCCGCCGGAATCATAGGCCGGGGAGGATCCGTGTTCTATGCCACGGATCGAAACGTGAGGCTGAGCCTGATCAAAACTCGGGATGATTTCGATTTGCTCGTCGACAAGCTTCAGAAGTTGGTCTCTGCGGAACAAGATGAAGAAGAAGGAGGAGGTGATGGCAATGGCATTGAACAGCACGTTGCCAATGTGACCGAATACCAGCCACTTCGAAGAAGAATGTGAAACAAAATACGGGTATACAACAGAAGACAAGTTGGATGCAATTGTCGGTTCTAAGTTAATTAAGGTCATTAATCGTGTATCTATATACACAAATATGCAAGCAGGTGTTTTATGTGCAAATTAAATGCATAATTTGTATGATGGAGTCATATATGTGATGTGAAGTGGGAGTTGGAGTTGGAGTAGGTCAAATCTATTGACCTGCCTTTAGTTAATTTGTAATTTTTTTGTACATTCAGAGTAAGGATGGAGACAAATATATGTGATATGAAGTGGGAGTTGGAGTAGGTCAAATTTATTGACCTGCCTTTAGTTTGTAAATTTGTTTGCTTACTTTCTCTGTACATTCACGGTGAAGAAGAGAATACGGAGGTGAAGAATCTATTGAACTATGTAGGTTTGTAAGGTTGGCACCAGAGATGTCCAATGACTCGGTCAGGTCAGATACGACTCTGAAGGTTGTTTTTCGGTATGTTTGTCTATAGGATGAAGTTATGGTCGGATCAATTTAATTAGGGTTGTGTATATTATTTGGCTCTATGACCGATATTAAGAACTAGTGATTTGAAAGTTTTCATATTAGTCAGGATCATTATCATTTGCTGAACCCGACGCAACGGTAAAAACGTAATTGTACGACAACCTTGATGAAGATAAATCAAAGATTTGCATCTATTCGGATGAAACATAGAGTTTTCCCTTGTTCTTTCACTTGTTCTTGGCAAAAGTGGTATGAATGGTCTGTTGTAGGTACAGGCGCTGCGGAATTCGCATAAAAAGAGGAAAATCGTCTCACGCTCGATGCACCGAGACACCGGCAACACGTGCTGCATGGAGTTTCACCTGTTCCTGTCTACAACGCGCGACCTTGAACTCTTGTTGCGACATAAACTTTTAGGTAATGTGTGAAGTCCAACCCGTGGATTACCTCCTGCATGTAATTATCCACGGGCATAATCTTTAAAAAGCACGGTCGTACGCTTCTTCATGCGTCTGATTGTGTAATCTCGTAGTAATAAATAGATGTTGGACGAAATAAGCGTTGCGAGTGCACAATCAGTAGTGGTACAAACAGAAATTGAAAAAAAATGAAGGTATCATATTTCAGCAGAGATTCCATTTTGGAATTTCCTTCCTTTTGAAGAAGAGCAGCAACGGTCAAAAGTCTCTCATATATGTCTGTGGTTCTGCCTTCTGTCAAGAAACTTTTGTAGTGGGAAGAGGTATAGGTCTTCGGTTTACAAAAGGGTTCAACAGTCAGTGGAGAATCTGGATATTGTTCAAGGTGTAACGGGTCTGGTTGGGATTCGAGAATTGTTTACTCTGTTCTTTCTTCACAGCTCTTGTGTCTTTGGTTTCAGTTCATGTTTGATAGGAGAAAACGTAATAAAAAGAGTCTCCTAGAAATCAGTGGATACTGATTCTAGGACGAGAAAACTGACCAGTAGTTTGGGAACCTCGTTAAAATCGTTTGTGTGTCATTTTCATTATTCTTTTACCCATGAATGAATTATTTGCATATAACTATTTATAATTATATTTATTAATTTATAATTATATATTTATTTAATAAAAAAGAGGACAAGAGTAACTTTCGAATTCTGCCTCCGCCACTGAACACTATTCTCTTTAGGAAGAAACTATCGGCACGACAAAGAGTCTATTTGCTAGCAAGGATATAAAAGGAAAGGTTGAAAAAATAACCCGACTTAAAGAAGCAAACTATAACAAAACAGAGTCGTTTTCTCCTTTTTTCTGAGCAACAAAATTGACCCAATATGATATAAAACCCAAATATAAAGAACTTCAAAAACAGTTTTAGAAACCTATAGTTATATAATTACTACAATGGGCTTTACATAACCATATACAATCCATAACTGAACAACAAGAACAACAACAAGTGTGCTCAAGTCCTAATCACATGATGTAATTACTATGGTGTTCCACAAGCTCAAGCAATGTGTGCTTATGTATAAAACCCCGATGATCCTAGTTCGTTGAATCCTTCCTCTCAGCCAAGCTTATTAAATTCTTCTTCCCTCAAGAAAAACAAAAGAAGAAAAAAAAAAAACACACTATCCTAGCTAGCCAATTTCTCTGCGCTAAAATGGGAATTACCGACCCACAATTGAGAGAGGAAGAGCACGGCGGTGATTATGACGCCATAGTCACCGTCGCCATACTGCTGGCGCTGGTCCTTCTGGCGGTCGCCACCACCTCAGGTAAACATTTTATAGAGATTAATAGCATTTTTATAGGCTTGTATTTTGTTTGCTTGTTTTATTGTATGAAAGTATGTTATATGTAACTATTATATGAATCGTATTTTTACTCACTATTATACATAATGCATTATACATACTTATGTATGTTATATGTATTGTATACATATGTTATATGCAACTATTATACGTACCATATTTTTACTAATTATTATATGCGTACTGTTTTGTACTAAAATCCCAGAGCACCACCCCAGGTAAGCCTGAATCTACTAAAATAGTTTTAAATACTTTAATTACATATCGCCACTACAACAACAACAAAACAAAAACAAAAAAACAAGCTCCCTCGTCACTTTGCAATGTATAAACGTTTTATAGCAATTACTTCAATACATTGTGCACTCTAGTGACCGGAGCATATATATATATATATATATATATATATAGTTTTGCTAACAATTATATGTTATTATTACAAATACATGTGTATGTTGTACATAACTATTATATGTATGTTAAATGTATTTTTACTAACTAATATACGTATGTATGTATGTTATACATAGCTATTATACATATGTAAGTGTGTTATACACACGTAAATATTAGAAGTATTATAAGTACGTATATTATACGTACATAATATATGATTATACATATGTAAGTGTGTTATACACACGTAAATATTAGAAGTATTATAAGTACGTATATTATACGTACATAATATATGTGTCATATTTTACTAACTATTATATGTCTCAATCACTCTGCTGCTACGCTTAATTTCAGGGCAATTCTCAGAGGGGTACTCTGTTTTCTTCAGGGGATGCGTCTTGGTTTCCTGATTGCGCTTAATAGATTCTGCAGGATTGGCTGATTAAGGCAGGAAAGTGGAAACTTTTTCTTCGTATTGGTGTAGGAAAAGGAAAAACTTAATCCGTCTATGGTAAGGACATGTGCATTCTAATCCAAATCCGGATAGGAAAAGGATTCATTCGCCCATGTGTGTGTCTTTCTCTTATAATGATTAGCTCGTTTACATTGCATTATTATTATTAGAGCCACAATTAGTTAAAACCATACTGGAGACTAACACCATTTCCGTAATAAGTAGAAAACTAAACCCAACACTTAGCGGAAACGAAAAGAACATAATGGTTTTACGTGGTATGCCCGATGATCGGAATTAGTCAATGGTAGCAACTTGAGAGCTACGTTCATGATACAAGCTACGGTGAGAACCAATAAATATATATTGCCCTCAATTATTCGACTGGGGCAAGTTAAGGTAATTACATTTTACTCCCGTAAGAAAGTAATGAATCCAAAGAGGTACCATCCACAATAATGTTCCTCGAGTTTGTTTAGAGTATTTCTTCAATCTAACGATATTGATATCAATTTTCTTACGCGTTTTTTTAGATAATAATAGATAATGTTCACATAACGCAATTCTCGTGTTCACAAAGCGTACTTCAAATGCTAATATTGATACTCTTGCTAGAACAAATGAAAAACAATGATCAAAGCAGTGAAAAGACAAAGAGATAATGGAATCGTATTGAAATATTTGAAAACAAATGATGATAGATTTTTTTTTTACCTTAATGATGGTGGAATTGGAAACACATGCATCGAACGAGGTCGCGAAGAAATTAAAGGGAAAAGTATGACAGTATTTGAAGGAGAAAAATGAGACGAGATTATGGTGAAATGAATGGATTATATAATGGGATAAGCGAAAAGGAAATGAGATTGTGTTGAAATGAATCGAAATACATGATTTATTTCACGGGGAGATACAGATTACAGTGATAAAATTTCCAAATTTCCAACATACATTGGCGATTATTCGAGGGTAACAACTAACAACTAATCATTGAGGTTTCAGTATTCTAATGTCAAGGTCCAGCCCAAACTTCAAACCAGAAAAGCCCAACCCACTCACTTCGGCAGAAGGACCTCATTCACCAATCGGCCCAAATTGACGGTCGACGATCCACCAGGCCCAGTAGCTTCGCGGGCCAACCTCCCCCAATCCTCCGCCTTCTTCCTCATCTTCTCCCCTTCTTCCCCATTCATCAAATCCCTAACCAGCTTCTCCACCGCCGCCCGCTTCACCTCCTTCTCGATCTCCATCCCGACCCCCCACTCCCTACACAAAAACCTGCAATGCACAATCTGATCGCCGAAGAACGGCAAGCAGAGCACCGGAACCCCCGCCGTCAAGCTCTCAATCACCGATCCCCACCCGCAGTGCGTCAGAAACCCTCCGACCGCCGGATGGTTCAGCACCTCCTCCTGCGGGCACCAACCGGAGATGAACCCATTCCTCTCCGCCTTCTCCCGTACCTCCGGCGGCAGAGCCGCCAGTTCCCCTTCGACGAGGTCCTGCCGGATGACCCAGAGGAACGAGACCCCGCTGCTCACGAAACCCATCGCGAATTCGACCAGATCCCGTTTCGACATCGTGATGATGCTCCCGAAATTGACGTAGATTACGGAGTTTCGCGGTCTGGCGTCGAGCCAGCGGAGGCACTCCGAGTCTTCCTTCCACAGGCTGTAGCTGATTGCGTCGTCGATGGTCGGGTCCGGCGAGATCTGATCGAGGAGGAGCTGTATCGGTCCGACCGGGTAGACCCGGTCCGGGTAGATGGAGTCGAGCGCGGCGAGGACGTCCGGTTCGAGGGCGTCGAATGTGTGGATTAGAACGGCGGAAGCTCCGCCGGCGGAATCGGCGCTCTCCATTAGCCAGTGGAGAATCGGGTCCTCGGCGTCCGTCGTTTGCAGGATGCTCGGCAGGTCTCTGAGTCGCATGTTCTTCATCCCCGGCACCTCGACTTCTGTGTCGAGGTATCCATTCGTCAAATTACTGACGTCTGCCGTCGAGAGGGAAAAAAAATGTTAACAACGGTCAGGAATTCCAGACGACGATTCCGATAAGGAATATAACTCTAATTACCTTTGAAAGGGGTGACGCCCTTTTCGAAGAAGGGGCGGAGCTGCTTGAACCCCATGAATGCACAAGCAGCGAAGCTCCAGTAGCTCACCGACGGCACGCCGAGCTCTCGAGCGGCGTCGACGGCGAACGGCATCGTGTCGTTGATCACGCAGCTCACCGGAGGGGGGTCTCCGTCAGTACGGGACATCAGGTCGGCGAGGAGGTCCCTGAAGGGAGCGAGCATGAAATTGCGGATGGAGCTGCAGATGGCGCGGACGTCCTGCGTGGCGTCGATGCTCGACGGCGGGATGCCGTCGGGGATGGTGGCGAATCGGAAGTCGGGGAGGCCGGCGAGGGCGTGGGGGCCTCTGCTCTGGAGGAAGCGGCGGTGGTTGAACTCGGTGTTGACGAATGTGATGTGGAAGCCTCTGTTGTGGAGTAACTTGGCGAGCATGAGCGTGGCCTTGATGTGGCTCTGAGCTGGGAAAGGTATGCACAGTGCGTGTGGCTTCTTCGAGTCCATTTTTCTTTCTGTGTGTTTTTGGCTGAACAGAGAAGGAAGAAAGGTCCTTTCTTTCTTCTTCTCCTCTGTCTGTCTCTGTGGGTGCTTTAAATTGGGTTTTGCTATTGCAATTTATGAGGCTTCAATAATACCATTTCCTTTCTCATTGATGGAAGTGAGTGCCGACAGATAGTGTCATTTTGGGAAACTTTGGTCTTTGGTGGAATTCGTTTGAAAATGTGGCCAAAGATTATGTTGGTAGTTGTGAGGATGGCGATTTGAATCCGTCTCGTCGTCGTCGGGTATTACACGATCCGATCCGTCCTGTCCCTCCTCGCCACCTGCGCGTTCGTGGGCCAATTGAATTCTCAATTGCTTACGAGATCTATTCATATTTAATCTTATTTTGGACTTTTTATTCAACTAGTTAGTCAGACTTGATCCTTCAATAACCCTTACGTATCTCCCCGCATCAAACGCGGGTCGGATTGGGTAATAACTGCGTGCGGATATGGGTCACGCGATAGGTCGGCCTATTCGTATATATATAATTTGAAGAAAATATGTATTTTTTTAACGGAAAAAAAAAATACGAAAGGAAGATAGATCATGAAAGGAAAATATATATATATATATATAGATAATAGGTAAGACTAGCTGAGCGCAATCCGTTGAAAGATGAAATCTCGCACTTATCTAAAGTAATTATTGGATGAAAATATGATTCAAAATGGGTACAAAAGATAAATATAGTTAGATATTAATACAGATTAAGGTAGAACGGATCATGAATGGAGCGAGGCAAGACGGAAGTAGTACTCGTATGCCATCCCACGCTGTTGCGAGTTGGATATTAGCCACCTCAATACGGATCAGATCGGATAAAACCCCATGCAGTATGGGGGGTTCAAATTTCTACCACCACCACCCAATGGAATAGAAATGTAGCTCTTAGCCCTTGTTTCACCGCCAATACAAAGCAACTGGGACCGTTGCATTAACTGAGAGCAACTGTACCACGGCGGAACTTGGCCGGCGGTGAAATATTAAATGGCTCGAGTTTAGTAGCCGTTGGTAAAAACATTTATGCGTTTGTGTTGGGACTCATGTGTGTACATTTAAAGGGATATTTATATTGAAAATAGACCAGATTTATTTAAGGTAAACCAAAAAAAAAAAAAACAGAACTACACGTGTATACATGTCGACCACAAATTTCACCAAACACTTGTGACGCTATTGTAGGCCATTGATGGCATCACCGTGTCAGTGGCTCCGACATACGTACCGATAAGTAATTACCCCAAAAAATAAATTCATTTTCGCCGGGAAACCACCGACAAATCCTATACAAAATGATGAAAAACAACCACAAATCCTACAGACATTTTAAACAAAACAATGAGTCAAACTTAAAAAAAAATATAATAGCCAAATCGTTAAATCTCTGACCCGTCAAATAATGTTACGTCTAGTCAAATACCAATACATTAATCAAATACCAAATTAGTTCAAAGTGGGTAAAACCCGCATTTTCTAGGAATGGTTAAAAAGAAACTGGTACACATAATGCCTAGGATTGGTAAATTCTACATCGAGACTGTTTCAGAGGCTGAAAAAACATTGATTAGTAAAGAATATTATATGTTCACTATTTTGCTACACTACAAGCTGCCTACGCAGGAAGTAAGGAACTTCGCGCTGCCTGCGGTTTATCGTTCAAGAGATTGGATTTCAGTCTCCTCCTTAACAGAAACCAAAAGAGTAATATGATGATAACAGCATAAACTTCCATGTGAAGCGTCCAGAACATTTCGAGGCCAAACTTGCCTCCGCCGCCGCTGCTGCTGCTGCTGCCACAGTTGCAACCAGAAGTTCTCCATAGATACCGCTCGGTTGTGGTATCTGGATCGAGAATGAAATCCAGCGTCATGGCTACCTCTCCTAGTGATATCGTCGTCGTCTTAGATTTGTATCCGGACATAGAAGCCATGACTGCAAGCACAATTACACAAAGATAATCATGCACTTATTGTTGGAGTACAAACTGTAGGCATGTAACTTGGCCATTCTTAAAGAGTAAATTAATAGCCAGACGATATAGCATGACAATCTACTTACTGTGGTCTGTTTAACCTTGTGTCAGCATCTATTAGGAATGACCAAGGAACTTTACCACTAAACCTAAACCTTTAATGAAATCGTTTAGGTAGATATTTCGTCAAGGTTCAGTTCAAACTTGAATGATTTTGGTGGAACACTACCACTGAAAAAACCTTTGGTGAAATCTGCTTCCAACCATCTCAAATTGGGCCAAGTTCTGTCAATTTAACCTAGTAGGGCTGAGGGTCGCATTCAAAAGACACGAATTCAGCCAAACTGAATGTAAGTAGCTGAAGATACCTTCGTATCTGTCTCCAGGGACCAGTAGCCGATGATAGTCCCCGAATGCTCTGCCAGCGGTCACCTGTCGATTAAAGTTTCAATGAATGAATTAAGTTTACAAGCTGCAAAAGGAAGGTTAGGAATGAAGCGCTTCTTTAAGCTCGCAGTGTAACAATACAGATAGACAGTTCTTTAAGTCAAAATAGCTTCCATACACATGAATAGCCATGCCAAAGAAGGAACGGCAGCAAAAAGAAAAGCAACCTGGAGAAAAAGAGTTGAAAAGGAAGATTCCTCGGATTCGCATTTAACACACCTTGCATGAGTAATGGTTTCCCTATTACTGTTTAAAGCATGCTACCACCGTCTGAAATATAATAAGCCCCTAATCTACAAAGAGTTAATGACCAAACGGTTTACTTAGCATTTGCATTAGTCATTTGCCTGTTAAAGCGACCAAAGCACAGAAGAAAGTCATCAAGGAAAGGCAGTTTGGCAAGAGGCTTGAACATATCAACGACAATACATAAATGCAACATCTCGGAGCAAAATGTAGGCTTGAACATATTAACGACAATACATAAATGCAACATCTTGGAGCAAAATGTAGGCTATGTAATGATTGGGCAAACAAAGTAAACAATAGTTTTCGTCACGGACAATAACACAAAGACCTTCAATTGAACCACAGGGGAAAACTGAAAGAAGAAAAAGAAAAGTGGCACAGATGATGAGCTTTATACCGTGTAGTTTATTCCCTTGATGGTGATAAATCCAGGCAAAGGAGTTCCAGAATCTGAGGCAAAGATCCTTCCATGTACGCCTGTCTGTAAGAGAAATGTACACCTTAACAAGGTAATGCCAGAAGTATGCTAAAAAAATTCATTACTTCCAATCTTAATGTCCAATAAAGTACTAATACCAAAACCCATAACAAGATTGGTAAGCCACCATTCTGTGCATTAACTTTTTTAACGATGGTTACTTCTAGAAGCTACACATGCCTCAGTTAAGTTCTTTTCTTGTGTTGCTACAAACGTATTGAAACTACCTTCAAAACTGAAGCTGCAAGGTTCAGCAAACTCATTTTGTTGTACTCCCAAAGTGTAGGGATCTGTTCACATACAAAGGACAAAAGATTAAGCAAATTTGGTTACAACATAAGGAAGAAGGGGGCAAGCTGAACCTTGATATGAGTTAACATTTGGGTAAACTAACAGATTCGAGAGCGAGGACCAACCTCATCTATCATAGGCCATTTATCATCACTGACTTCCAAGGTCAACTCGAAACATCCAGCATGTATGTAGTTCCAATCTTGCATTGCTCCATATATTGGGTACCTGTAGTACAAACAAGTTGGCCTTCATGTAGTCTTATGCTTAGAAACACTGAAGAAATGTGACAAAAATAGTAGATCCTGAAACTACCAACCAAAGTGCTCCATTTGTTATGCCCCCTGGGAACTCCTTGCTCAAAGACATGTTATGGTGAGATCGACTATAAGTGCTTGCTAGGAACCGGAAAGTATTATCATCAGGGCATGAATAATAATGTTTCCTGGATTTTGAAAACAGAGAAACAAGAGCACACCAATGAGTCGAAAATAAACCCACTGCAAACTACAAATAAGTACGAGGCTGAGGTAACCAAAATGATACTCATAAGGTAACTGTATTAACCAGTTCAGAAAGTGCAAGTATGATCACACAAACATGGTGTTTACTCAAAGAGTCACCTCGGGTATCATGTTAAAAGCTAAAAATTTACTAGCTGCGCAAGAATGCAACAAAGAAGGATTGAACGAGAAAGAAAGGCAACAAACGAGTATAGGGCAAATAGCCACTTGAGAAGAAAGTCTAAGCTTCATAAGAAAACGAAAAAAAAAATAGAAGAAAGTCTAAGAACCAGAAGGGCAAAAAAAAAACATAGCACCAACACCAAAGCAGGGTGTAAGCAAGAAAAGGTTTATCAAGTATAGAAGTCAACTCTTCTTGGTGGAAAATCCAAATTTATTCTAACTGAAAAAGAAGTCTGAAGAAGCATTCAAATAAAAGAAATTCACCTTCCATCACGGGTACCATCCCATGGATAATTTGCAACAAGTGCACCCTGAAAATGATAAGACAAGCTAAGAATGTCTGCAGTGAGCAAAAAAATATCCAGTCACATGATAACGAAGTTGCTTTAGCCTAGACAAAGGCCGTTAGTATGCTTACAACCTGTTTCTTAAACTGTTATGCATGATATGATTGAGTAGTAAAGAACTCCTAAATTATAACGAATGAAAAAATCATAAATGATAATGAAATCTTACCCCGTGCAAAGTTGCAGAACCTGTAAAACGTATCTCTCCCAACCATTTCATAACTGCTGCTGTTTCAGGTTGACGCGTATTTATATCATCATTCAGAGGAAAGAACTGCATTTTATGTGAAAAAGAGCATTTTTACATAAGTCTACAATATGAAAAATGAAAAGCTGAGCTGACCATCCTGACCAAAACTTTAATATATAGTTCTAGTTGAGTTTTTTTTTGTTTTTTGACAACAACCAGTTCTAGTTGAGTTGATACTGAACAAAGTTCCACAAAATACACTGCTGCATCGTTTACTTGAAGTTGAAAAAGATTAGCTCAATGCCATACTATCAGAAGATTAAAAAGGAATATTCACAGCATATGGACTGTCGCACCTCTTCTCTATGATACCTAATGCAGCAATTTCGAAATAGTCTCAACTGTTTCACACTGTGAATTAAGAAGTTCTTTCGAGACTTATGTAAGGACTCAAAACTTGTTAGCTATAGAAGTACACTGCAGCATACATATCTGAACCATTTCAATTGGACTTATTCAGCTAATTACAATATATTATCCAGAAAAAGATACGGAAGAATAAGTACCTTTGTACTTGTATGATCATACCTAATTGATAAACACAACAGAACCAGAAAAGACGTCTTACCTGGTCAGGAAAATCACGATTCAGATCAATATTTTTTGCATTACCACGCCTCTGTAGTGCAAAACCATCAGGGTTAATTGATGGAAGAATGTGAAGGTGACTATTTTCGACAATTGATCTGACCTGTAAAGATCAAAACTGGGATAAAATCCAGGAGGCTATGTGGTAAAGGAGATCCACAAAGTACATATAAGAGTAGAAATGAGAATACCAGAGGATCCTTCAAATGGTTGTCGCATATCCAATTAGCTAACCGAATAAGAAGTTCACGCCCAACAGGTTCATCCCCATGAACATTTCCAATATACTGCAGAAAACAATTATGGAAATAAAATAAAACAAAAGCCAAGCTGGTCATAAGATGACAACAATGAGCATATGCACCATAGGATTTTAAGATATTAATATTAATGTATAATTTAACTTTCAGTAGATTCCTAAGCTCAAAAGAGTTCAAAATTCAAGAACTGCCAAGGGGAAGCATTATTCATCGTCATTGAAGCTTCTCAGAGGAACACATAAGCTGGAACTTTAGCATCTACTTAGATGATACTATATCGATTACCTTGAACGCAGGCTCACCCTCTTCTTCTCCAGGCTTGTCAGAAATTTCTATTACCCACTAAAGAAAATGGAGAAACAAAAGATCATTTAGAAATTTGAGAGATGTGTGTGAAATTACTTTCTTGATAAGACCACATGGCCGAAAAAGGGAAAAGGAGAGTTAACTAGAGAAGATGAAGTGTGGAACTAACTTCAGCAAAAGTATTACCAGCGGAACTCCATTCACACTCTCCCCGATACTGAATCCAGAGAACCCCTCGAAGAAACAATCCCAAATAAGAAAATCAGTTGCATCATCACCTCAAAGCAAACAACTTGTCAACATCTAACCAATCATTATCACTCAATCTAAAAAGAACACAAGATCTTATCAGGGGACTACCTGTATATCCTAGAAATGTTGCTACATCTTCCCCCAAAATCCTTCACTGCCTTCTCGAGATCCGAGTTCGTCATGTAACCACGAGCTCTAGCGATCCTGGAAGCATTAATTAGAACCCAAATTTCAATCATTTATAATTAGAAACACAGGAGATTTCAGATTTAGGAAGCCAAAGCAGCACTACTTGTTCTGTGACTTCTCATCTTCAAGCAAAATCCGTGCAGTAGTAGCCACATTGCTCCTATCATTCTCATAATCTACAAAAGAAAAGAAAAAAAAACACCACATCGAAACACAGTGATGACCAAACTCTAGATCCATCCAAGCCATTTCCAGCGGGAAAGAGAGGAAGAAAAGGGAACTGTTAACTCAATACTCCAGGTTTATACTAAAAAAAGGGAAGTGGCGCAAACTATAGACTGTAACGCACACCAGGTGGTCAAATGTCATTAACCTTCATCAGCTAATTCCTTAAGCTCCACAATTAAAGACCTCATTCATCATCAGAAATGCATAATCGTCAATCGACGACCATACTTCCACAATTCGATTTAGACTTTCTATCCAAATGAAACGCAGACGGAGAGAGAGAGAGCAGAGACCTGAGAGAGTGCCGCCGCGCTCGCCGCCTCTGGCGACGGCGGAGGGAATAGCGAGGAAGAAGGAGAAGAAGAGAATACCGACGAGGAGCTTCATTTTGGGAGCTGAGCTTTCAACAGGTAGGCTAGAGACTACAACATCGGGGAGGTTTTTCCGGTGATCTGAGAAACAAGCGATCACTTCTCTTCCGATCTCCCGATTAGCTGGTCGCTTTTTTGCATTTTGCGGATTTGATTGATTCACTTTCCGGCTTTCCTACGTCTTTCTTTTTCTTCGGGTTGACCGTCGAACGAGGAGGACTAACTGGCACCCGCACGTGGCGAGAGCGGGATGCACGTGCCAATTGACAGAAATAAGGAGTGGGCTCCGTTGAATAATTTAAAGCCCATTTGTGTTCCTTCAAATGGGCCGGCGTCCAGGGCTTAGAGCCCAAGTGGTGAAAAAAAGATGTAACATGCAATTTTCATTGTTCCATCATAAAGTCAAATGAGTCAATGAGATCATCATGGTAGATGGGCAATTCGAGGAGATCGTGACTTTGCGTGGTGACTTTGTTTCAGTTTAGTGTTTTGGTTTGTTTGGATCAAGGTTGTCAAACCGGTTTATGCCGGTGTGCCGGTTTTGTAAGTGGAATGGTCTGACCGTTTTACAACCAGTATTCATGTCGATTGTGTCGGTTTTAATAAAATACATAGGAAAATAGAAATCTTCAATTTCAAATAAATTAGTCATCAAAAAGCAATTAGAAAAATTATTTCGAACAAAATACTAATACTAACCAATTAGATGCTTAAAAATAAAATTTTATTAAATGAATTTTATTAATGTTTATAATGATTTGTGTAAATTTAGTATTAGATATATAACATATAAGGTTAATATAGACAATAAAATTGGTTGTAGCCTACTGGTGTATAAGTTAAACTAAAATGAACATGATGTACTTGGTTCAAATCCTATGGAAAATGTTTATTTTTGGATATAATGTGTGTAACATTAAATTCCGGTTTCTGGTCTAACCGGCCGGAATTTTCGGATCTGACCGATATTGACCGGATTTGACCACAGTTAAATACCGGCCTCTTTCCAGCCGGTTTGTTGACCGGTATCAGTTGAACTTGGTTGAACCAGCTGGCATGAAACCGGTTTGACAACCATGGTTTGCATATAATGGTAATAGGGTTGGCTATTTGGTGGAACGAAAAGGTCCTTTCGTTGTTTCCTTCCTTCGTTGGGTTCGACTTTATTTCTTGTTTGTTTTCAACCATCTATAATACGTACAAGCGATATCAACGGTTAAATATTAAATCAACTCGAATGATCAGCACGCGATCTAGTATATAATAGACCGGGTTTGATACAACTTTAATAATGGCCCCGAATTTTTGGTGCATGATAAAGTCTGGCTAAGCAAGTTGGGTTACTTTGCCAACTGCGGGCTGGTCACATGAACATGTTATGTTATGTATGTTAACATGCACATTATAGGTACGTTAAGGAGAAGTTGGCCAAATAAATAGGAAGAGATAAGAAGTAAAGGGTTGTTGCTTGCTCCACGAGACATGCCTATAACTGTGGCTCTTTCACTCAGAGAGTAGCATCTCTTCCTTTGTCCACTCTTTTTTCTAATCTTTCATATATCCATTTTAAACATAAAAAAATGATATACGTTGTCGTAGCATCCTCGATAGACATGATGATAAATGAGCAGTCGATATACAGTTGTCGTAGCGGGTCTTTCAACACCACCGGTTTGTTGTTGTAATGAACAGTTGAAAGAAAAGTATTATCAGTTGTCGGATGGGGAGCGGCTTTGGGTTGTTGATGGCTGTGGTTGTTGGGAAGTGATGAATCATTGATGATTCTGTAAGTTGGTGTGGATTTATGATAGTCGTTGGTGGCCGAAGCGAGAGAGAACGAAATGATGTTTGAAGGAGGAGAATTGGAGGAAGAAAACGTTGTGCTTCGCTAAATTGAGGGAGGGGGAGTAAAATTGATCCAAGAATTTGATCTAGTTTCGTTAACTCGGTTCGACTTGCTCTGCATTTAACTAATTCAACATGCAAGTCAAAATCGTTAAAATTTCTCTCGAAAACTAGATTTAAATTATTTAAATTATGAGTAGCGTAAGGTTTTAAAGCCCATATAAGTGGTACAGACCAATGAAGATCAAAACAATCGAACAAAATCGTAAAAATCAAATTTTAATATTTGAATCGAAATTTTAACCAGCTTAATCGTATTAATTATAATTTGTTAGTTGGATCAATCATGAGATGATTAATCAAAACATAAAGAGACTGTGCCCTAACTAAACAACCTACGGGCTCATCATTGCGCCACTCCAAGGGGCAAAAGACCACATTAAACAATATACATACACAATCTAGCAGAACGAGAGGAACATCAAGCAACTCAGGAGGAGAGTTAATAACTCAGATTTCAGATGGTACAAATTACACTATCATGTGGAGTCGCTCAATGTTTGCGTGAGGATTTGAAGTCAAGGTTGTCAAACCGGTTTATACCAGTGTGCCGGTTTAGCAAGTGGAATGGTTCGACCGGTGGTACATATCGGTTTGTGCCGGTTTATACCGGTTAATATTACAAATAATTTACAAATACTCATATTTAAACACGACATTGAACGTAAATACCTAAAATTTTGTACTTGAATCCGACAAATAACATCAACATTTAACTTTTTAACGCATAAAACAAATAATAAATTACTTTTTTACCAATTAAATTCACTAAAATTAGATCATTTTACTTGGAGATTCGTATATCAATCATGCCGGTCATACCGGTGGTGTTATGCCGATTTTATGACCGATATAAAGTTGAACCAGATTCAACCTGTGGCACGCCGGCCGGCGTGACAACCATATTTTGAAGTCATTGGTCATGAACCATGTTAGTGTCGAAGTACTGTGGTAGAGCTTAATATAAGTGAAGGTATGGGAAACCTACAAATGTAGACGGACTCCAAAAAAAGAAATTGCGCAAAATGCTTTTGATAAAGTAGCGCGCATTAGTTTAAACTTTTAACTTAATAGCTAATTAGAGACTAATTATTTGTTATAACTGGCCAATATAGCATGCTCTTAGTAGTGATGATTCAGCTAATTAATTAATATTTAGGGGTTAATCAATAGGGTTTAATGGGTGGTGGGGCGACCGACATTCACCTCCCACTTATGAAAACCTCGACACTTTTCTATTAAGCTTTTGCGGGGTTGGTTTTTTTGTCGTTCTAGATTGTTCTTTACTTCACTACTTCTTCTTCTTCTTCCACGACACCAATTATCCTTCCTCCAATCACATTCTACCAACGCTAACCATCCCCACAAAATAAAAACGAGTTTAGCTTCAAATTGATTAGCTAATTCCTGGGGTTGGAATTAATTAAAGATGGAATTAATCAATCTCTCTGAAACAAATTTGCAGAGAAAAAGACTTCCACTAATTAATTATGCGAAGGTTTTGGTCCATCGGTTATTATTATTAGTTAATATGAACAATCTCAGTTAAAAGTTGAGATATAAGTAGCAATCACTCATTTTTAATGGTAGTTTACGTTACATCAGATAAACCATGCATGCACTGTTATCGTGTGTACAAAAAGAAAAAACGATGAATTCTAAACAATACGAGCATAGTAACAATCTAGTACATCTAAATGTGAAATACATGTAGTATTGTATACTCGAGAAGTTATATGTCGTTACCCATTAGGAATATAAATTTGTTAATATTATTAAATTAAAGATGATTAAGCTTTAATCATATTCATAATACGGGTGTCATGAAACCATGCACGACAATGGAATTATTGTAGTGGGGCGCGGGTCCCACCGTCAATCGTGCGGCGGAGGAAGCAGGGGGATATCTTCGTATATCTATCTAACGGCGGGCGTTAACGGCGGGCGTTAACGGCGGCTGAAACTCAATTATGGATCTAAACCTCGCACCTGATTGGTTGGGTTAGGGGCAAAAAAATATCTAAAACGCGGAGCTGGTGGCGGGCCGGGCCGGGCCGGCACCATGGGTTTTTTGCTAGATATTTTACGGAGGCCACAGCTGCCCGCGGTGGGTTTTGTGGTTGCTGCCCGGATATCCTCAGCCACTGGAACGGGGCGACGTGCTCGTTTTCTGGTGGATCTTGATGCTTCTCGGGCAGGGGGTTCGGGCAATCGCACGGGCTGCCTGTTTTTTTTTTTTTGCTTTATATATTGGCATCCACGTGAGATTGAGAAAGACACAAAACCTAAATCAATTTCTAATAAAACAAAGCTAAATGCTTCATTATGATTTATGAATCGTGAGGTTTTACTGCTCTCATAATTACCATGCCACTCTAAGGTGTTTATATTAAGCCCCTTTCTGTTGGGAAAATTGTTGATGGTTTGTTGTTTGGAACGCACAACGTTGGTTTATGAAATAACTGGTTTGTTTACGAGTTTACGTGTTTAAATTTTCACGAACTCAATATTAACAGTTTATTAATCATATGATATGATGGGTTTGTGCAAGTTTCAGTTTCCGTGAGTTGGCTTTCATCTGAAGAGGAATGTAAGAAGGTGGTTAAGATCTGTATATGAACTTCTCTCCAGAATTCAAGCTGTTGGGAGCAACTGGTACCTGGTACCTGACAGTAAATGTTCTTAATATTAATTGATATTGGTTTCTTCCATTATCTTTACAAATTTTTGACGATATCAGCAAAAATACAGATAATGCATGAAATTCAACGACTATGCTTTGAGAATCACACCGGATGTTGATCCAAAAAAAATTTAGTGATCTACGATTCAATGGCTACTCGTTACGGAACGGCTGGTGCATCGTTTACAAAATCGTCCATATAATAGAGTAGTTTCGGTTGTATTAGGAAGGAAAAGCGGAAAATCTACATGAAGGGGGTTACAAAGGGCAAACTAGAAACAAATTGAAGAGGAAGTAAGAAGAACAACAAATTACGGTTGGTTTTCATGCTTTCACCTCTAGCAATTTTTTTGTTGTTGTAATTTTATGTTTCTATTAAAATATTGAACCGATAAATCAATCAGATCATATTAATGTCAATCGTTCACTATTGAATTGCTATCAGCTGTCTGACTTATTGCTAAGTGTTAACCCCCTAAACAGACAAAAATCATAAGCTATTCCATTCGATCGATTGTTTTACTAGTCCGACCGACAAGTCATTCAATTCCATAGTATAGTAAGCACATGCTTTAGGTGGAAATATAAAAGTCTATATCATGGTCCC